ACAACCTGTTCTGTTACTTCCTGGTTTGATTATCTCAAATGAGCTAAACTCAAGAGGCAGCAATTGCCCAGTGCATTAGCCTTGCAAAGACTTCTCATTGAGCTGCATTGGGAAGTCTATAACTGGACAGTCACAGAGAATCTGGGTGGTTTTAGAAGAGGAGGGCTTACAAAGGCAGCAGATTAGGAAACTGCAGGTTTTGCAATTAGGTTTCATACCCCCAATGACAAGAATGCATACGTAAAGGCATGCAGAGTTTATCTACTAAACAGTACTTTCTATTTATATTGTATTTAGGCACTGGAGTATAACTTACCCTTGTGTTTGTTTATTCACGGTAATACAGACTTCATATGTTACCATTAGTGTATGAGAGAGTTGAACTCCATACTTACTAATTACATGCAAAATATAACTTGATGATATTTTTTCTGTGAGTGTACAGGTTAAAGTAAAAAAAATCATAAAATATCAATACATATCTTGAAATTAATTTAGTCTATGTTTTGCTTAATTATGTGTACTTGGCATCCACTTTTACTAATTGGTTTGTTTGTTTTTTATTACAAAGGAGCAATTTATTGAATTGTGCAAGACATTCTACAACATGTTCAGTGAAGACCCTGTTGAACAAGAGCTATACCATGCTATTGCCACTGTTGCCAGCCTCCTTTTGCGGATTGGAGAGGTTGGTAAGAAATTCAGCAATCCACCGCTAAGGAATGCAGGGGATACACATGCAGATATGACCAGGGAGCCATCTAGTGAAGAGGAAGAGCAGAGTTTGGGTTTGGAGACTGGCCAACAAAAAACTGTGGAACAGTTAGAGCAGGCTGCGGAGGATATCCCAGTGTCATGCAATACTCAAGCAGTACTCACCCAAGAGGACATCCAGAAACTACAAGAGGAAAGAAGGGGGGCACTAAAAAACAGCCCTCCAACACAACCAGGTTCAGATGATGAAACAAAGGACGATACATCTGTATCCTCCTACTCCATGGTCAGTGCCACCTCACTGCAATGTGAGGATATTGCAGATGATACTGTTTTAGTAGGTTGTGAAGGGGGAAACTCAACACCCAAATATGGCAGCACCATTGACACTGAATGGTCAATTTCCTTTGAACAGATTCTGGCCTCAATTCTGACAGAGGCTGCCCTGGTTAGCTACTTTGAAAAGAAAGTGGACATAGTTCAGAAAATTAAACAGAAGAAAGTCGAAAGGCAAATAAGCTCTTCAAGTGAATATGAACTTTCTTCTGTCTCGGGATGATATGGTTATATAATTCCTTGGAGGATGAAATTAAATCCACTGATCCTGTTTTACTTTACAATGAGAGCAAACTTTTCACATACATGTCATTCTTTACTCACTAATATACTGAGCTAAATGTTTTATGCATCTTCCTTCAGTAGCTTATGTATGCTCATATCTTAAAGATGATTTGACTTATTGGAATTGTCTTGCACTCTAAAAAAATGCGAAGTAAAATTGGAACGTTGTCCTTTAAGCTTTTAATTGTAACCTTCAATTATATGCATGTGTCCCTTCAACAATATTCTTTCAATGGGCAGTTTTATATTCTATGCACCTGCACCTTGTCCTACTGCATATCACTGGTTGCTTTCTTGGGCTGTTAACAGAATGATTTCCTTCTATGTGCACTATATAGTATTAAAGAAATAGTTTCAGCCACAAAGCATTATCCCCTTGACTGTCATGAGAAGTGAGAAATACATTCAGAAAATTAAGATTAGGGCAATGTATTCCTTTGCTACCAGTTATCTAGTATTTCATAAACTATCATTGTCAATTTTGTGCCTAAGTGATGTAGGATCCCAGGGTAGTAGTGATGCATAAGATGTACAGCTTGTCGCTAATGTGCAATATTCTAGTATACTATACAAAGCAGTATATAGTATAAATAGATCCTTTTCTCAGCATATTGTGTCTTCTGATTCATTTTAAGTTCCCAATATGTTCAACATTGTTATACTAATGGAACACTATCCTTTTAAAAAATAAAAATCTTAATATATTGAGAGCTACTATGTCTAAAGTCTTGCCATTGGTTGCATTGTTTTGTGAGTTCACTAGACAGCCACTTCATTGGCAAACTTTGATGATGCTCAATATTTCATTTCATATTTTTTCGCCTTTTTACAACCCCGCAATTTCTAAACAAACTGGACTGGCAGCCTAGATTCACTATCTTTCTGTTTTCATTACATTCCAACTTAAGATAAGCTGTGAGAAGTAATGTTATTACGTATTGTATTTCCAATATGTTTTTCCTATAATTACCATGGATTTGCTCATAGTATTATAAATTATGTCCACTACACAAAGTGAAAGCAAAGTCAATTTGCTATGCCTGAGTGTCAGAAAGCAAGATGTTTTTTCTATGTTTATATATCATTTTTTCACATTAAACATTTCTGTTCTCAGTGTGCAAAAACCCCATAACTTATGGTCCTTTTCAGTAGACTTGATTCATTTCAGTTATTGAAGGTGAAGGAGTATCTGGGTCTACCACTCGTCCAAAACTAGAAGAACCTGTGGAAGGTAGAATTACTGGGGCTGTGGATGCAAAATGTTTAAAATTGAGCATTATAATGGGGCTAAAGACTCCACAACTGCAGTTACAGGCTTCCACTGATAAAGCCTCCAGAATTTAAAATTAAGGTGTTCACATTATTCCAGCTTGGCCTGACAGCAGTCCGTTTAGTAAACCAAATTTGTACCAACATCAATTAGTTATGTCACATAAATATTATTTATTTTGGAAGAAACCCCTTGTTTGTAAGTTCATGTCATTAAAGTTCAGTGTCAGTTTGATTATTTTTATTCTCACAAAGTATCTTGCTAAAGTATTAGATTTACATTATGCTGATAGTACTGTATGATGGTTTCCTAATCATGGATTTAAAAAATAAACCGCTGTTTGAAAAAAAAAATGAATTATGGCCTTTTACTTGTACCACTGGGTTTAAAATGAAATGTATTGTCTTCTGAATTTTTAGCGTTCTAACGTGAATTAAATTATGCACGTTTTTGATGAGTAATGGTGTGAAGATAGATTAAAATATAGATGTCTTCTGGTTGTTCCTTTTCTGTTTATAAATTTGATGTGTCAAAGCCCCTTTGTGTTAATATAAGTGGTTGGCTTCGTGAATTGTTCACATCATACCATAATTTATTCTATTTTTAAATCTTAAAACTTTAAATGTCGGTTTTTAGTCATCTTTGATTGTTCATGTACTCAATAAAACACATAATAAACCAGAAAACAACAAATTGCATTGTTTATTTTCTTTAATTTTGTTTATGAAGTTTTGTTTGGGGTGTATAAGTTTGATTGTGTATTTATGTTGGATTTTTTTTTACCCCACAAAGAAAACAGTGGGTTACATAGCTGAAAAGAGACTTGCATCAATCAAGTTCAGCCTTCCTCACATTTGTTTTTTGCTGTTGATCTAAAAGAAGGCAAAAAAAAAAAACAAGCACTTTCAATTTTGCAACAAGCTAGGAAAAAAAATCCTTCTTGACCCCAGAATGGCAGTCAGATTTATCCTTGGATCAAGCAGTTATTACCCTACATTGAAAGATTATATCCTTGAATATTCTGTTTTTGCAAGTATGCATCTAGTAGCTATTTGAACATCTATATGGACTCTGATAAAACCACTTCTTCAGGCAGAGAATTCCACATCCTTATTGTTCTTACAGTAAAAAAAACAAAACACCTTTCCTTTGCTTTTCTTCTTTCTTCCAGTCTAAGCGCATGACCTCGTCTCCTATGTAAAGTCCGGTTTGTGAATAGATTTCCACACAATTGTTTGTATTGGCCCCGAATATATTTGTATAATGTTATCATATCCCCTCTCAGGGAATGTTTTTCTAAACTAAAGAGGTTTAAATTTGTTAACCTTTTTTTCATAGCTTATATGTTCCATTTCTTTTATTAATTTGGTAGCCTACCTCTGCTCTTTTTCTAGTGCCATAATAACAGGTGCCCAAAATTTCACAGCATATTCAAGATGTGGTCTTACCAGTGATTTATAAAGAGGCAAAATTATATTCTCATCCCGAGAATGAATGCCCTTTTTCATGCATGAGAATACCTTACTGGCCTTAGCCACTGCTGATTGACATTACACAATGTTGCATAGTTTGTGGTCTATAACAATTCCCAAGTCCTTTTCATGTGTTGTCATCCCTAATTCGCTTCCATTAAGGGTATATGTTGCTTGTGCATTCTTTACGCCGAAGTGCATAACTTTGCATTTTTCAACATTAAATTTCATCTGCCATTTGAGTACCCAGTCCCCCAGTCTATCTAAATCCCTCTGCAGCAAAGTAATATCTTGCACACATTGTATTATTTCACAGAGTTTTGTGTCATCTGCAAAAACTGAAACATGACTTTCAATACTTTTTTCAAGATCATTTATAAACATGTTAAATAGAAGGGGTCCCAGAACAGACCCCTGAGGGACACCACTTGCCACCTCTGTCCAGCTTGAAAATTTACCATTAACGACAACTCTTTGTACTCTATTTTTAAGCCAATGTTCCACCCAAGAACAAGCATTTTCATCTAGACCGATTTCCTTGAGTTTGAACACTAATCTATTGTGTGGAACTGTATCAAATGCCCTGGCAAAATCCAAATAGATCACATCCACTGCAACACCCTGATCTATACTTCTACTTACTTCTTCTTAGAACGCAATCAAGTTAGTTTGACATGACCTGTGCTTCATAAAACCATGCAAATTTTTGCTGATAACCATGTTTTTCTCCGGGAATTCTTGAATATTATCCCTTAATAACCTTTCAAATATTTTCCCAGCCACGGAAGTTAAGCTCACAGGTCTATAATTTCCATGCAAGGATTTTGAACCCTTTTTGAATATAGGAACCACATCTGCCTTCCTCCAATCCTCCGGAACACTTTCTGAAATAAAAGAATCTTGAAAGATTAAAAACAGAGGTTCACTTATTTCTACACTTAGTTCCTTAAGTACTCGTGGATGGATACCGTCAGGCCCTGGAGCTTTGTTTATATTAACTTTCTTTAGTTGCTGCAGCACCTTGTTTTGAGTTACAATTATTCTGCAAGTTTTTAGTAGCAGTCATTTGCACATCTATTGCCATGGGTTCTTCCTTAATATATGGGGAGGAGAAATAGTTGTTTAAAATTCCTGCCTTTTCCTGGTCTTCATTAACTAACAACCCCGTTTCAGTTTTTAGTGTACCTACACTTTCATTTTTTGTTTTTTTTTAGAATTTATGTACCTAAAAAATGCTTTGGGCTTGTTTTTTTTTCCTTTAGCTATCATTTTTTCATTTTTGAAGTTTAGCAAATCTAATCGCCTTTTTGCACGTATTATTGGCTTCCTTATATCTTTTATAAGATGCATCTGATTTGTCCGATTTAAATGCTTTAAATGCCCTTTTCTTATTTTTAATCTATTGTTTTACTTCTCTACTAAGCCAATTTGTTTCTTTTATATTTATTACCCACTGGTACATACTGAGAAATGTACCTTTCTAATATTTGTTGGAACATGTTCCATTTATCCTCAGTGTTCTTTTCACTAAAGAGTTTATGCCAGTCAATATATTTTAAAGCTGCCCTTAACTTATTGAAATTGGCCTTTTTAAAATTATATGTTTTAGTATACCCCATGTGCTTTTGTTTTTTTGAGTTTATTTCAAAGGACACTATATTGTGATCACTATTTCCCAAGTGCTCACCTACTTGAATGGTTTGAATAGGAAGAAGTATGTTTAGAGTAGCCTTTTTTTGGGGGGGGGTTTCGGTTATGTCAAAATGATTAGTAAATAATGAGTAATGATATCAATGTTACTTTGCTCCTTCTCTTTTTTTGTAATCTTGAACTCCTGGAATTTGGGGTTATATTCTGAAAATATTTGAATATGACCTATTAACCTAACACTTTATTTCAGACCTCGAGAAGCTCTTCAGACAAATGATGGATAATACATACACTAAAATAAAAAAATAAAGAGTGAAGAAAAAAAATAAAGATACGGTGGGGAGGAGGGGGAACCTTATGAGGCTATCTGAAACACGACCACCTAATAATTGTATTGTTGATTAATAACAGTGGCATGTGAGTAAGGAACCTTGCCTGCTTATCATAGAGAAGGCATAGGCAACCTTTGGCACTTCAGATGTTTTGGACTACACCTCCCATGATGCTTTGCCAGCATTATGCGGGATGTAGTCCACAACATCTGGAGTGCCAAAGGTTGCCTATCCCTGTCAGAGTATGCAACACTAACCAACAGCTGTCATCCATACGGATATACAGTTTTCTATTCTCAATAGCTAGCCACAAAAATGTGGACTTATGTTGGAAAATGATATCTGAAATATAAGGTCCTAAAGGCTACAAAATAGGTATAAGGTGTAGAAAATGCTGGGTATACAAACTATTTTTATCATAGATTAGGAAGGTGCTATCAAATGATGGCATGAGACAGAGCAAGAGTGACAGGCATGTCCCATCTCTTGTTTTATTTTGGAGCCCCCACCTGCTGGGCACAGATCACCAGCCTACCCCATCAATAAAGGAAGACTATAGAGTCAGAAACAAAAATGTGTTCTCCTGACCCTATAGTGTTAGAAAATAAAAAAACAACCAAAGTGAGAAAAAAAACAATACTTGTTCCTTGCTCCCATATATAAGTATAAAGCTCACCTTTATACCAGTGACGTGCTTCTACCAACACTGGCTCCACCCCGAATCTGCCTTTATCGCTTAGATTTTCAAAAGTGATAGGAAAGCATTAGGTTGGCTGATATAGTCCATTCTGATGATCTCAGCCAATGAGGTGGGTGGAGGCAAAGCCAGATGCCAATTAGCATCTCCTCAGTGATCCATTGAATCAGTGCATCTCTATTGGAAAAGTACAGAAACATTATGTAGCAGGCTCTGGCTCTAATCATTGGTGGTATCAGGGTGGTTATGTTATTCTTCACTTCTCCCTTAGATTGTAGTACTCTCCTACATATATATGTAACAGAGGAATCCTTGGAGATATACAGCAGTAATTCTACTTTATTAAAAAGCTTTGCAAAGCAAATAAATGAATGTAAACCACAAAACCTAAAATTTGTTAAAAGTCCAACAGTAGCACAACGCATTTTGACTGAAAAAGTCTTCTTGGTTCATATTGGCTCCATTGAGCTTTCTCCCTTATGTACATCCAATCATGAAATTGAAATTTGTGCCCTTGTTCTGGTGTTCCTCCTGGCATAAGCATCCCTTTCCAGCAAGCAGCATGACGACATACAAGCTTGTTACCCACCCCGTTAAAATATTGCTGGGCCAGGGCTAAGTTCCTGTCTGGTGTAGAGTTCCAGACAGTTGGTTCTGTCTCCTGCGTGTTCCAAAACATTAAATTATTCAAATAGTGAAACATTTATCATTATAAACATAATCATAGACACAAATTCTACCTACTGCATGCAAGACAGGGAATTTGAACTTGGGTCCTTTGTAGTCAGGGCCGGACTGGGGATACAAAGCAGCCCTGGAAAAACAAAATCTATGCCAGCCCCATAAGTCATTGCGCCATATATTGTCACATGTAATATGTAAGGCTATGTCTTGTCACCCCAGACGCCTGAGTAATATATATATATATAAAATATTTTGCTTTTTCTAATATAAAATATTGATCCTTTCAGAGTAAAACGTTTAATTATACAGTAAGCATACTCACATGCAGACACAGACAATCTCACTGATATACATAAGCTCACTCACTAGCAGGCAGGCACTCACACACACATGCAAGCAAGCTCACTCACTAGCAGTCGCACAAACACACACAGCTTAATGTAGTGGTTCTGGTGTCTATAACCTGTCACTGCAGGCTTTTCAATGTAAACACTGACTTTTCAGGGAAAAGGCAGTGTTTACATTGCTTCCTAGTGACACCTCTATTGAAAGACACTCACACGGTCACTAGAGGTGCTTCCTGTGTCAGTGCGGATTGGCTGAGATCATCAAGCTTGATGATCTCAACCATAGAGGCAGGGCCAGTCGAGGGGAGACCAGCACGACGTTGAAAAAAAAAAAGGTGAGTAAATACACTATTTTTAAAAAACACACACAGACACGTTGACAGACACACACATACCATGACATACACCATGACAGACAAACACACCTTGACAAACACATACCATGACACAGACCCTGACACAGACAGACACACACACACACACCATGAGACACACACCATGACAGATACACACAGACCATGACATAGACAGACACACACACACACACCATGACAGATAGACACACACATACACTCCAACTGACACATAATTGTTGCTACCTGTGGGCAGACAGATGGGTGTGCTGGCGGCAGCAGGGAGAGCTCTTCTGGAGGCCGCAGGGGGAGCTGGCTGTTCTGTCTCTGCTCCCCAGCGTGCAGCTTAATGAGAACGGGGCCGGAATATGACATCATATTCCGGCCCGGTCTTATTTAGTAGCACGCGGGGGAGCAGAGACAGAACAGCCAGCTCGACCTGCGGCCACCAGAAGACCTCTCCTCCCTCTGCGGCTGCAGGTCACCTAGATGTCTCCCCAGCCCCAGGTGCCGACGGCCCACCAGGAAATTTTTACCGGTATCCCGGTAGGCCAGTCCGGCCCTGTTTGTGGTCCTGGGCCTGCTATATTGCCTCTGAGCCACAGCAGATCCTGTACTTTTAAGTAGTTCTAGCCGTGTTATACCTGGCAATGTCTGCAGCACTAAGGGGCTGAACTTCTTCTGTGGCTATTGCCTGTGCTTCACCTGAGGCAGATCGCTCATCAGCTGGGTATAAATCACTGCCCCTTCCTGAGAACATTGTCAGTTTGTTGTATCCTGTTTTCTGTTTCCAAAGACTGACTTGGCTTGTGACCCTTTCTTTTTGGATTATTCGTTATTGCTTGTTCGCTGCCTGCCCTGACCTTTGGAACAGTGTCTGACTACTCTTCTGGATTTGCCCTTGTCAGTTTCCTCGTACCTGGTTACTGTTACTGCCTAATCCCAGTGCACAGATTCACAGCCCAGGTAGCTTCTTACCTGGTTACCGTGGGCTGTGTTTATCTGCCAGGGTGAGCAAACATCTCTGCATTTCGGACTCCAACAAAGGTAAGCCGTGACATTCTGGAGGTTTGAGATCAGTCCAAACAAATATAAAAAAAATTCGGGCATCAGGGGTCCTTCATTAGTAATATAATTGAATCAAGGGGACCATATCTCACTACATTATAATTTGTCATAAATGAAATGAAAATATTATTCCATTTCACCTTGATAATAAATTTGAGTAATAATTTCTGCCCAGGAGGGAAATTTTGATTTTCGCCATTCTCTTGCAAGATTTAATTTAGTAGCAAGCAAGATATTAATCGCCAAAATTTTAGCATTTTTATTTAAGGTAAATTTTGTTGTAAAAATAAAATTTAATACTTTGTTTTAAACTTTATGCAATCCCACCAAATAAGATAGAAGATGTCCTTATTTTGATTACATCTCCAGCATTGGTCAGAGATATTTCTATCAAACTTAACAATACGCAAGGGAACTACATAACATCTTTTAAGTAATTTAAAATATGTTTCTTGCAGATTAATAGAGTTAATGCTTTTCCTAACCATAGTCCACGCTTCACACCAACTCTGGATTGAAAAGGTAATCTTTGTCATGCTCCCATTTTGATATCCTACAAAATTTTGGTGACTAACAATTTACTTTTTAACATGATAAATCAATTTAGTAGCATATTTTTTTACAAATAAAATCATATAATGAAGTTGCTTCATCAATGAAATTGGTTTTAAGACTTTTTTAAATTCTGAGATTAGAAAAAAAAATCTCTCTTTGGCAGGAAGAACTTCAACTAAATTTAATTAAATGTAAGAATATTGCCATTAGATCTAATATCTGCTAAAGTAAAAAAATATTTATTGGTCAATCCAGATAAAATAAAATCAATTTTCTTTAAATAATAGTTTAGTACCATAATAGCAGTAGCAGATGAGAAGTAATTTTGGATTCTCAACCTTGATCTGATCACTGCCCTGGCCTTTACTGCACCTTTCAATAATGGGTTGTTACCTATATGAAAATTTGACCCTAAATAAATTAAACAGATTTACATTAGTGAAGCCTCACATTTAAACCAGCCTATATTTTAATCCTTTTTAAGATACCAGGCAAGAATATGCATATATATAGAAGCATCATTTAGTACACTCAAATGCAGAAACCAAAGTCAAATTTGGCAATCTCTTTTAATTATATTTTTGTTTATTCTAGGCTTTTTACCCCTCCATGAAAAGAGAGCAACAACTTTGTCAAATCCTCCAATTTCTAATGCGAAACTCGTAAAAGAATCATTCTAAAAACAAAAGTATCATAGGGAGCAGATTGGATGCAATCATATTAGTTCTACCTCTCCCTGAGACTTCAATTTATTTCATTGTATTAATCTGGCTTTGAAGTTCTTCAAAAAGAACAGTATAATTATTTTAAAGTAATTTACTTGGGGTGGGGCCTGACTGGCATGGCGACTGGACGTGTTTTCTAAGCACTCCTCATGAATTTGGTGATATAATCCGGTCGCTGGTGTCTTTTGGCTCTCAATCTTGTCCTATTTGTGCTTACTTGACATCCTGCATTAATGAACCTGGCTTGGGGTTGCACCCAGCGGTGTACAGCTGTGATTTCTGCCAGGCTTGATTCAGGCCTAGCAGGCATTGTGGGAGGAAGTGGCGGCCAAACTACCAACCCAATGTAAGCAGCCTCAAGGAGTTGAAGCCCCCCCCCCCCCTATGGACTGGCAGGGGAGATCCTGGTCTCCACCCGGAGGGCTTCCTACCTCGAAGCATGCTTGCATCACACCTGGAACACCCAATATGGCGATGGATGCGGGCCACCAGACACATCTTATGGAGAGAACCGGAGTTCTGCTTAGGTTGGATAGCCTACTTGCTACATTCATGCAGAACCTGCAGCAAAGGTACATCCTGCTTACCATGTCATTCCCACTAACACGCTCACCAAAGCTGATTCACCGAAGTACTCGAGACCGGGTTACAGACCCTATGGCGGCCCGCCTTCAGAGACGCAGACCGCACCGGCAACACCAGAGAGCAATGAAGCACAAGCACATACAGAGACTGGGCAACTGTGAGCCGGGGACGTTGTCTCCCAGAAGTGCTGAAGTGCAGCGGGTTCCACGGCAAGCTAAATAGAGCCTGACACGCCATCAAGGTACTATCGTGCCCTCACCTACTACGTGTGGTTCACTGACCAGCGGCACTATGTGGGACTGTGATCCGCACTTGGAGGGCATGGGCTGCAGGACACTCTGGAGGCCCTTAATTCGTTTCCACAAATGTGAGGCCGGGCTACAGCACAGTTTAAATTGTGTTTTGCATACTTTATGCCCTTCTTTAAGCTATAGGAGCAGGTTTCTAGCTACTACTGTCTTAGCTGAACTTTGCAATGCTCTGGACTCCAATATTACTAGCATAGAGTCCTCCAAGGTGGTGCCTAGCTTTAGACACCAGCTGGTTTTGCATGATTTCTTTCACTTTTAACTGTCTACTAGTACAGAGTTGATATAGCTTGATTTTACTAAAATATAAAAATGTGCTGTTTCCTCAACTGCCATGACATTTAATGAGACGAATAGAGGGCTAAAGAAGTTCAAGTGGAAAATTCCCAGCTTCTCCGAAACAATTAAACACCCTGAACAAAAGAGGGGAGATCAGAGAGTCTGTAGTTTTTATTAAAAAAAGATCTGTATAGCCATCGGGGTGCCAGGAATTTCTCCTTCTTTAAGCCAGCAATCTCTTTCCTTACCTCAGCTAAGGCAAATGGTTGATGAAAGAAAATTCTCGTCCATTAACTAAGGGACAGTAAAGTCACCAAAACAACTTTAGCTTAATGAAGCAGTTTTTGTGTATAGATCATGCCTCTGAAGTTTCACTGCCATTTAAATCCATTTTGTTTCTGTTTATGTAGCCCTAGCCACACCTCCCCTGGCTGTGACTGGCACAGCCTGCATGAAAACAAAATGGTTTCTGCAGGGTATAGTTACTAACAAAGCAGGAGATACTAGTCTAAATGAAACAGAATATGCAATAAAGGAAGAGTGAACATTAGATTATTCTTTACAGGAAGTGTTTAGGAAGGCTGTGCAAGTCACATGCATGGAGGTGTGTCTAGAGCTATATAAAGTGATAAACCCTTAAATGGCAGAGCATTGAGAAGTGATACTGCAGTGGCATGATCTATACACCAAAACTGCTTCATTAAGCAGTTTTTATTAAAAAACTGTTTAATGTGAGAACTGGAAATTTGGGTAGGTTTAAGATTGAAGCTTTTGGGAAGTTTTATAGCTCACTTTACAGATATTTGAGAGGAATCTAAAAGAACTTTGTTATCCACAACTAGTTAGCGAATCTGAAAAGTCTCATTCTTTTGACAAAAGTTAATGGTGAAAAATGTATTAGTTCTAGAATGATCTAAGGCCAAATTAAAATTGCATTTGGAAAAAATATAGATCAATTCTTCAATAAGAAAAATGTCTATTAGAAAAATACGTGTATTGCCTCTCAGGGAGATAAATCCTCCAAAAGTCAGACAGATTAAATTTATACAAAACATCTCAAGAATTTCTCCCCTATACCTTTATATAACTTTGGTGATTTTTTTTTTTATACTTCCAGAATGAAGATCTCTTATAATTGCAATGAGTTTCTTGCACAAAGCACAAATCCACTTTCTGATTTCTCAAAAGAACATATACATATGCCTTTTTGTGCAGAATTTTCATCATTTTCAAATTCATTTAAATCTAGAATTTACCCCCAAAGTGCCTTTTAAAATTTAAACAAACCCTAATATGTATTCTGATCTCAGCCTCCAGAAGTGCCTTCCTCCAACAAACCATTAACATCTTTTAAAATCAAACATTTTCGAGGGGCGGAGCCTAACAGCCGAGGCAAGTGGACGCACGATCGTGGAGCTCCAAGCTAAAACCGGAGGAAATAAGCTTATATACAGCCGAAATTACCCCCACTAACCACTGAACTACTGTGGGATCACCTCAAGCCCCATGGGTCACAAAAACAAAAAGCCGATACCTGACAAACCGGCCCAAGGGTTAACAATAGGAGAAATGTGGCGGCAAAAATGCGGCCCGAGCGGATCCAACAGGGGGAGCCGAAGATGACTACCTCCTAGGCCCGGACCCAAACCTGAGGGCAAAGAGCAGCAAACCAAGAGCTGACTCCGACACCGACCTGGTAACCACCGGGGTGTTAAAGACCCTGCTAGCTGACCTACAGAAGAATATCCTCACGGATGTCACCGCACTAAGGGGAGAGCTGTAGGGCCTAACGTGCCGCATAACAGCGCTAGAGGACTCCTCCCAAGAACACCTGCAGACTATTACCTCGCGGCAGAAAGACATGCGGGACCTACGCCACCAAAACATGCTATATGAGCGGCGCTTGACTGCCCAGGAAGACACGAGAAGGAGACATAACTTAAAGATCAGGGGGATCCCGGAGGGGCTGCCAGAGGCGGAACTGCCGCAAATCGATCAAACGCGTGCTAACCACCATACTGCCCCCAGGCCAAGCCAAAGCCATTACACCCACAGACCTCTTTCGGATCCCTAAACCCGCTACGGCCCCAGCTGCGGCCACGAGGGACACTATACTTACCTTCAGAAACGGGTCAGACAAAGCGATGGTCCTCACCGCCCTCCGGTGTAAAACCCTCATAAGGTTTGAGAACGCAGAGTTAACCTTCTATGCAGACCTGTCCAGCGGAACTCTGGCTTGCCGTAGGTCACTCCAGCCTCTCATCTCCGTGCTCCAGCGACACAACATAAAATTTAACTGGCGGTCCTCCCACACACTGCTCGTGCAGCACGGAGGAAAAACACATCAAGTCCACGGCATGCAGGACGCAGCGGATCTTCTGCACACCTTGGGCCTGCCACAGGACTCACTCTCCCAAGCGGGACCCCGAGCCCCCACCTCCCCGGCCCACAGCTGGGATCCGGTGAGAACTGCTCTATTTATACCACGGAATGCCACACCGGACACCTATGCCTCTGTTACCATCTAAATGGAGATGAGGGGCACGCTCTCCAACCGCAGTGGCACCATAACCTACCTATATTGGACTGCTACACCCGTCCTCTCTAGGGAACTTGTGAATGTTAGGCACACAGCCTGTTTAATCAAAGCCAAAACGTGCGACACACTGTGTTACATAGTTACATAGTTACATAGCTGAAAAGAGACTTGCGTCCATCAAGTTCAGCCTACCTCACATTTGTTTTTTGCTGTTGATCCAAAAGAAGGCAAAAAAACCCAGTTTGAAGCACAATTTTGCAACAAGCTAGGAAAAAAATTCCTTCTTGACCCCAGAATGGCAGTCAGATTTATCCTTGGATCAAGCAGTTATTACCCTACATTGAAAGATTATATCCTTGAATATTCTGTTCTTGCAAGTATGCATCTAGTAGCCGTTTGAACATCTGTATGGACTCTGATAAAACCACTTCTTCAGGCAGAGAATTCCACATCCTGATTGTTCTTACAGTAAAAAAACCTTTCCTTTGCCTTAGACGAAATCTTCTTTCTTCCAGTCTAAACTCATGGCCTCGTGTCCTATGTAAAGTCCGGTTTGTGAATAGATTTCCACACAATGGTTTGTATTGGCCCCGAATATATTTGTATAATGTTATCATATCCCCTCTCAGGCGACGTTTTTCTAAACTAAATAGGTTTAAATTTGTTAACCTTTCTTCATAGCCGATATGTTCCATTCCTTTTATTAATTTTGTAGCCCGCCTCTGCACTTTTTCTAGTGCCATAATATCCTTCTTTAGAACAGGTGCCCAAAATTGCACAGCATATTCAATATGGGGTCTTACCAGTGATTTATAAAGAGGCAAAATTATATTCTTGTCCCGAGAATGAATGCCCTTTCACATTTGCCTTCTTTTAAAAAACGTGCAGAACTCAATATGTTCATTATGTTGACTCTCTTTTCTTTATAATGGCGGATAATCTTGCGCCCACACACACAATCATCTAGGTCACCACCGGCACCTGGGTACGCTACTGGACAATTCTACGCTCTTGTGTCATGATTTTATGTTAAACTTTTACGTTCCCTAGTTTTATTAACCGCCTACCTTCAGCTGTGAGTACCTTACACCATATCAAGGCAGTTCAGGGGCTACTCTCACAGGCAACAACACACTGCTTCACCCAAACACTCTCCCCCAAACCACATCGCTATGCACAATCACCTCGCCTCAATCCAGCATGCTAACTATGCTGTAGCCTTGTTCACACAATAGGTGAACCTCACGTGTTGATACATGTATTAGCCTGTACCTATCCTGATTTAAAACACTGCTATTCTCTTGCACCATAAGCATACTTTGTACAATCAAGATACATAGCTAAATACACTATGAAAACGTTCTACAAACTTGGCTAGTCTGAGCTATATGCTATCTCACTCTATCACAACTGAAAATGTACAATGTATGCTATACTAGGTGTCAATCCTTTCTTAAGATCTATCAAGTTGCTTATTCAGAATGTTCTCAAGTTATCTTAAACAAAATATAGTGCACAGTAATTACCTGCCATACCTATGCACCAATATGTCTAACTATTCCTGTCTGTTGATGCTGTTGTGGCATAACGTACTTGCTTGTTACCACCTGCACTGCAAAAAAAATAATAATAAAAAAAAAAAAATGCAAGTTCCTGAAAGACTAACAATTATTTTTTCCAAAGAAACAAGTACTCTGCAAACGATAACAAATTTACAAAAATTACATTCTAGTGCGGGTGGTGTAATCGCATAGGGCAAAAACTTTTATTACCCACTATACTTCAAAGCCATAAAAGTAGGTACCCGTAAAAATACAACAAAATATTTCCCCATAATTAGCCACAAACATTCATTAAGTTAATACCTATATAATAATATGCTAATAATGTGCTAAACTGCAACCTTCATTCAAATTAAAAAAAAAATTATTATATAAATTCTAGTGCAATATGAATTAAAAAAGAACCTAGAGCATGTCACAAATGCACCGTCTCCAAGAGTGTGTGTGACTTAGTGCTGGTTGTGAAAGGGTTAAAGTTCACTATTTGTCTGCAGTAGGCCAGAAATAATGATAAAAATTCTCTTTAACACCACCCATACTTAACCATGATAATATAGATATAAAAATAAATATTTATTAACAAAATTAGTCACAGTGCATACAAAAAAAATTGACAAACAAATTAGTTACATCAACATTACATAAAAACAAAAAGAATAAATTAACAGAAGTCTTAATTACCTACTCACTTAGGTTTTAAAAGTAAAACTTCTGCTCAGGGGTCTCAACGTACCATTAGATGCGCACATGGACACAACGTCCAACGCACCCAGGTAACAAGCCTCTGCTAAAAGAAGGATAGTCTCACTCTTAGACGACATACGACTATTCGACATATGGTGCATAACCCACCCCACTCACGACGACTTCTCATACTACTCACAGGTGACAAAATCATACTCAAGAATAGATATGGTTTTTGCTCAACACATATACTTACACCATGTCCGCTCCTGTGAGTATGGACCAATTACGTGGTCTGACCATGCACCCCTGTCTCATGACATACAAATACCCCACCTCATTCATTCCAATGGAAATTGAACAATTTACTACTAAACGATGCATCCGCATCCATTCGTTTAGCTAGCCAGCAATACTTTGGACGAAAACACCACACAGACAACGCCACCCACAATAGTATGTGTGTAATAAATGGATCTCTCTTTGCTATACCCTCCAAACTCAAGAAAAAATGCACAGAACAGGCCAACTCCCTCCTAACTGACATTAGATCTCTGGAAAACACACATAAACATAACATCTCCCTAGAAACATATAAACTACTGACTTAAAAGAGGACCGAATTGCAAAAACTCATGAATGCCCAAATGAAATGCCGGATGTTATTCACTAAATATTCCTACTATTCCAGAGGGAGCAAGTGTGGACGCCTCCTAGCCTACTCACTTAAAGACGCTAGACAGAATACATTCATCTCCAAGATAAAAACACGATCAGGGGATATATCTCACAAAATCACAGACATACTGCAGGAATTCCAGAAGTTCTACACTGAGCTCTACAATATTCGCACGACATCGCCAACGATTCCAGAACTGGAACGATACTTAACCCCTTGCATCAAACAGGCAATACCCAATAACCTTTTATAACCTTTAGACTCGCCAATACAACCAGAAGAATTCCTGCTAGCAGTCAAACAATCCCCATTAGGTAAAAGCCCTGGACCAGATGGCTTTACAGCCAAATATTACAAAACATTCTCTGAACTCCTAGCCACACCATTTGTGATCATATTCAACTCACTCACCACTACCCCAAAACTCCCAGACTAGCACTAGAAGCCCACATCACCCTAATCCCCAAGCCAGGAAAAGACACCACTCTTGTTACTTAGCCAGGGGCAACCACCCCACAAAACAGATATGAGAAAGAAACACGACACCCTGTATATTCTTTATATGCTCTGCAACCTGATATTCTCCACATTTGTGTGTTTGATGCTTTGAGACCCTCATAATTCTGTACTGTAACGGTAACAAACATTTAGCTCTCTGCATTTCAATAAAAAAAACCTTTTGGGGAAAAGAATAAAATAAAATAATAATAATTGCATGTATTAATTTGTTACCATTTTTCCATTCCATAGATATGTCACACTTCTTACTTGTGACCTAATTTAGCGGACATCACACCCCTTATCACAACACTCTTGTCTAGAAGAGTGTGCTTGTCCCATCCTAAATATGCACAAAGATGAGGCTTAATTAACTGTGGGTTATTATTCATGTTTCTTTTGGATATGACATGGACACAAGGGTCCTTTGATATGCTAATTAACACATCAAGGAAATCCACTATCTGCTAAGAGTCACGGACCATATGGTCGAAGTCAGTTAATTTACACTGAAACTAGACATACAGGCAGCTCAAGTGTAAAAATTTAAACCTTGCAGAGCTTTGATTGACCATAGGAGCAATTCATGTTTTAAACCATCTGCCCTTTATCATATTCCAATAAAATTTGCATTAACGCTTTCTGACATGTATCCTCTACCAAGTGGCCATGCATGCACTACACAAGTGACATTAAATTGCAATATTCTATAGTGCAACAAGGAATTATGTACCCTTGCCATGACAGGGCATATCTATAAATGCTGTAATCCAAATACTCCTATAATCCACAGTGATAATATTAAATTCAAGAAAGAAAAGGAAAAAAAATGGAGCCATAAGAGTAGAGGAGGAGAGGAAATGAAGGGAACAAAATCCCAATCCAATTCCCCTCTCCCCTCCAAAAGCACACTAGAACAAAAAATATTACTCAGTTATCAATCCCATTTGTAGCAATTTGGTTTTAGCTCGAGAAGGATCCCCAAATACATAAGTGTGTTTGTCCATTGTAACAGATAGTCTTGTTAGAAAAAGCCATCTTAAAAAGCAGTTGCTACAGCAAATTTCTTCCTATTATTCCTTGTATACAATGAAAGGTCTGAAAACATCATAAGATTTTAATGCTTTTCTGGTGAATAAATCCTTTACATATGAATTATTAAAACATATTATGTCTCTAGGTTTATCAGCAAGAATCAGATTATTTGGTTTCGAAAGTTAATTGGGGATGTTTTTAGATACACATCTCACTCTTGAAGTGTTCTTTCTTGAACTATCTTCAATATCGGCCAGTTTATATTCAGTTTTACGTAGAGCTTTACTTAAATTTTGATTGTGAATTTTTAATGTTTTTTTCATTCTTACGTTAAAATTTTAATTTCTTTCTAAGTTTTCTGTGATTGTTGTAATCTGTTGGTTGATTCTCCTGAATTCAGTTTAAATTCCATCTTGATCTTCTTCACTAAAGTGTCCAATGTTTGCGACAACATTTTTTGATTAACAGGGATTGAAGAGCTAATAGTTCGATCGATATCATTCTCAGGTAACGGTTTCTCTGGAGAAGGCATTATGCCTTAAAATAGATTTTCGAACGGTGTAAATCGATTTAGGAGAATAATATCCGCTTATAGATTTAGAATGAGCTGAGGTTCAATGAGAGTAAAATATAGAAAAGTATTTACAGCTTCTTCAGCTTCAAATGATGTTCTCTTATTGTTTTTGCCAAGGAAGTCTAATGTATCACAGCTGAGGCTGAGAGAACTAAAACCGAATGTCTGTCTCTTTATGAAAATAGTTAAAGAGATTTATAACTTTTAAGTGTTAATCTTTATATTATCTTCAGTCATGTTGTTATAGTATTTAATAATCACTTTTCCTGGAAAGCCTTGTTAATAGGAAGATATCACCAAAGAAGAAACAATTGAGTAATTATTACTCCCTGCTTAAACTGTACAAAAATCCCTCTACTTAATGGTTAAACTTAAAAAAGCTATAATTTTTCCTGAGGAAGCCATTTTATACGTTGTGCCTTCAGAGTAAAGAAAACTTTTCATGTATCTTTAAATATATCAATGAGAAAAATAGAGCAAACTTCTGTTTTCAATAATCACTTTTTCCTGGAAAGCATTGCCAATAAATCATGCTTACAGAGAGGTGGAATATATCACCAACAAAAAAACTACTTTCCAGTAATAATCACCTTAAATCCATCTCCCCATTTAAGTGATATGAGATTTCTCTCCATAATGATTAAACTTCAAAACGTTTATGAATGTTGAATCTATCTTTTATATATATATATATATATATATATAATTTGACCCAGCCATGCAGATACAAATTTCGATCACTCTTAATGGAAAAACCTCCTTCCAACATGAAAGCTTATTCTATAAAATTAAGTACTACCTATTGGGTTTATGAATATACAGGAAAGCAATTTACTAAGTGGGAAACATTCTTTGGTTCTGAAGCTGCACTATTGAGGTTTATGTTTTCACCAAATTGTCTGGTATTATTTATTTAGTAAATCACATCTTATTAGAGTTGTTACAGTTTTAAAACAATAAGCCATGCGAGCAGGAAATAAAACCATGATTACTTGTTGCTATTTCTCAGCACCTAACTGTAAAGTATAATCACTTTCAGGATTTAGTCCTGTTCTAACTACTAGGACTTCCTAATATTTAGAACTAGAGATATACTCAAGGTAACATCCTATAATACAATGTTTAAATTGGTATAGTGCTGTGGAGTGATCAAAATAGTGAAAAGTTAGGAGATCTCAGGAACTTAAATGTATGAGCTAAGGTAGTGCCTAGACCCCATAAACCAGTGCACCTTCACAGGGAGTTATATCTTGCATGTTGGCTATTGTCTCTGTCAGGTCACTAAATGCTTCTACCTATCGAGTTATACAGTAACCCCTCCCGCTGTTTGCACAAATAAAGTTGCAGAATCCAGCCCCTACTGAACAATAATGTATATAAATCACGCACAGCTTCCTCCGCCTTGAGAACTTATGTTTACATAATCAAAACGTAAAAAGCGCGGGAACGAGAAGCAGTAACAGACGCCAATAGCAAACCAAGTAGCAACTTATTAAACTACAACTCCCGGCATGCACCACCATATAACAGAATAGCAGAGGAACACGGGACTTGTAGTTCAGTAAGGAGAGAAAAAAAACAAACAAACAAAACAGGCTGGCTGGAGCCATTTGCGTGCAGTGACTGCGATCTTTAACAGAGAATCTCTCTCTTTGTTATTGCTGCAGAATTCCAACTGTGTGCTTCATACAAAGTAATGGTGCAGGAATTTCAGGTTCTCAGATGTTTCTCTTGCCAAACGTTCCAGGTGCACCAGGTATATCCCCAAATAATATAAATACACACACACATATATATATCAGGAGCACACTTACCTTGGAGGAAAACCAACCAGTTTACTTTTTTTTCTTTGTGTTCTAAGTCTTATTTTTTTCTTTTTCCTTCCAGGTGAAAAAGTCCAAAAAATGGAATTGCAAGATGTGTGGAGAAAAGCAGTCACTGCTAAAGGTAGCTCTGTTAATAGGAAACTATTAATCACCAGTCTCCTAAGCTGTGTTTACTTTGGGAATGCAGTGTATGGTGGGCATTCCACACTCGCAATGGACGAGACAGCAATGCACTGAGCTCGGCCACTTATAGATTAGAGGGGGCACTTTAAGCCTGATAACACACTACATAACATGGGAGACCCACAATTTTTGTCAAGCCGCTCAAAAACAATTTGACACGGGGGAGGAGGGTTTAAAGTGCTCTGTTAATTCACAATTGTATAATATATGGTTTTATAACTTCGTCAAAGTGAATACTTTATTAAATTCACTGTTATGAATATCTTTAAAGGAACAGTACTGTATAGGGTCAGGAACACAAACATGTATTCCTGATCCTATAGTGTTAAAACCACCATCTAGCCCCCCTACCTCCTTAAATATTTTAAAATGTTACCTTTATTCAAGACTGCTAGTGCTGGCCCTGCCTCCTTGTTTGACATCATTGGATTGGGTGAGCTTGTCAAGGAGGAAGATCAGGGGCAGAGCCAGCAGAAGCCAAACACAGCCCCGGCAAATCAGCATCTCCTTATAGAGTCAATTAATCTCTATGAGGAAAGTTCAGTTTCTCTATGCAGAGGGTGGAGACACTGAATGGCAGTATTGCACACTGTGCAGTACTGCTCCCCTGGAAGCACCTCTAGTAACTATCTCGGGAGTGGCCACTGAAGATTTCCCTAGGCTGTAATGTAAACACTACCTTTTCTATGAAAAAAAAGTGTTTACTGCAAAAAGCCTGCAGGGATTGATTATACTCACCAGAACAAATACAATAAGCTGTAGTTGTTCTGGTGGCTATAGTGTCCCTTTAAGCATTTCAAACATGGGAATAGAAGGAAACATAAGACTTATTCTGTATGTGAGTATATCTTTCATTCATACAGATTTATGGGCAAGGATCAGGAGCTGACTGCCGCCATCATGTCCAGAAGCTGAACCTATTTCATGGAGAGGTACTCCAGGCAGCGGATATGGCTTTTGGGTCCGTACTTCATCTTTAACACTATAATATTTGTGACACAAAAAATGATTGTATCATTGCAAACATTTCCAATATTTTTCAGGCTAGATTGTAAAGAAGAAATCACAGATAACGTGCCCATTGAAGACGAACACGAAGGAACAGTGGAAGCTCAGGTAATGTCTATCAGATTTAAAATGCAGTGTATCGGAAGCCTCTGTCTCCACTCACAGAAATAATGCTCCTAAAGCAGAGAAATGCTGCAAGTGTCCTGGTAGCAGAGTGATGTTGTCAAACACCAGAAATGTATTGGCCCTTTGTATATACAGTTATGCTCAAACGTTTACATACCCTTGGAGAAATGGTAATATATGTACCATTTTTAAAAAAAACATGAGTGAGCAGGCAAAACACATTTCTTATGGGATTCATATTCAACTGTAGGTTATAACAGAATGGCACAATCATAAAACAAAACTTGGCAACAAAGAAAAAATGAAATGGCCCCTGTTCAAAAGTCTGCATACCCTTAGTTCTTAATACTTTGTATTGCCCCATTTAGCATCAATGACAGTGTGCAGTCTTTTGCTATAGTTGTCTATGAGGCTCCTAATTCTTGAAGTTGGTATAGCTCCCCATTCGTCTTAGCAAAATGCCTCCAGGTCATGCAAAGTCTTTGGTTGTCTTTCATGAACCGCACGTTCGAGATCCCACCCCCCCAGAGTGGCTCTATTAAGTTTGGGAGACTGTGATGGCCACTCCAGAAGCTTCACCTTTTTCGTCTGTAACCACTGGAGGGTCAACTTAGCCTTGTGCTTAGGGCCATTGTCATGCCGAAAAGTCAAAGAGCGCCCTATGCGTAGCCTTTGCGTGCAGGAGAATGCAAATTGTCTGCCAGTATTTTATGATAACATGCCTTTAGAGCTCACTCACCCCCTAAAACATCAGTGGGCCACCACCATGGTTCACAGTGGGGATAGTATTCTTTTCACCATAGGCCTTGTTGACCCCTCTCCAAACATAGCGCTTATGCTTGTGACCATAAAGCTCTATTTTGGTCTCTCCACTCCAAATTACAGTGTGCCAGAATTTGTGAGGCATGTCAAGGTGTTGTCGGGCATATTGTAACCAGGCTTTTTTGTGGCATTCGCTCTGTAAAGGCTTCTTTCTGACAACTCGACCATGCAGCTCATTTTTGTTCAAGTATTGTTGTATTGTGCTCCTTGAAACAACCACAGCATCTTTTTCCTGTATTTCTCCTGAGGTTATCTTTGGGTTTTTCTTTGTAAGAAACAGATTAGTAGGAGAAACCAATTAATGTAAAGCCTGTTCAATAAAGTAACAGGTGCCGAGGGTATAAAAAAAAAAACAAAAAAAAAAAAACCCATTCCAAGTGGTATAATAACCATGTATAATTAAAGAAATGCCCACACTCCCAACTTCAATAAATTTCTAATTTTATTAAATACAAAAAAATAAATAAAATACAATGTACTCTATGTATGCCTATGATATTGGCAATAATACCAAACTCTATCTGTAAGGTATGCAAAATCAGATTAACATACTAAATATAAACAAAGAAATTCCTATACAGAGCATGAAAAAAATGCAAAATAAAAAAAGAATAGACTGCTGTACAGTTTTGCCTGGCGAATGGACAGGTGTAAACACCCAACGTTTCAGCTGCAAAGCCTTTGTCAAGGGTGATCTTTAGTCACAATTTACAAGCATACATGTAATTAAAAATAGAGGTAGACACTCCCATGCGAAGCCCCAAATTAGATAACACCTGTGCTGTAATAATTAGTTAAGTTCTAGGTTGTTTAGGAAAAATACTATTGCTATTGCAACAGGACGCCCCTATCGATGTGTACATCTCATCATTACCATCCAGTATATTTTGATAGTCCTCCTGTTTTACCCATCTGTGCTCACAGCCATGTAGGTATAAGAAAGTGTAGCTAGTTCCGTCGGTATGAAAAAATGTAGTTGGCTCCGTCAGTGAAAAACATAAGCAAAACGGCTCATCTAGGGGAGATCGTGTCTAGCAAATCTCCTGGTACGGAAGCCTGAGCTAACCATAATGCAACACTCTGTGAGCATCTCGCTGTGTACGGAAGCCTCTATCGGCCAAATTACTACAAAGTGCAAACATATCGTTATATTACAGAATTTCCTGTGTTAACTGCATCTGACTTGCCAATAAGGGAACAAATCCCTACGTTTAGCTCTCTAAGGAACTGCCTACCCAGTTCCTTAGAGAGCTAAACGTATGTCTTGTTAGGTTATTTGTTATAAATCATATAAAGATATATAATGTTCCATGGTCCCCACCTTAACTAATAAACATAAATAATCGATAGAAAACAAAAATAAACAAATAATGGGGTGGGGGAATAGAAATAAAACAGTGGAACAAAATATGAAATACAAGAAGATATAGGAAAAGTAAAAATTTAAAAATAGAAAAATCAAAAGTTTGTAAAATATATAGCAAAAACTAATAAAGAATTAAAAATATGAAAAATTTAAAATAAAACAAGAAAGATAATAGATAAAAATAAAATATAAAAAATTAGAAGATCAAAATATAGTAGTAATAAATGAAAGAAAATGGAAACGAATTTAGAATAAAAATAAATCCAATGCCGTAAGGTATAACAACCTAGTAGGGTATAATGTGAATTAATTCAAAACAATGTAGTCAATATATGTAATATTATAATCTCATTGATGTTCTGTTGTCAGTCAAAAAGGCCATGTTAATCAATGTCTACACCCAGAGAGGTTACTTGAAGAGAGACCATATAGTCACCACTGTGGGTTTTTCTTTGTATCCCGAACAATTCTTCTGGCAGTTGTTGCAGAAATGTTTCTTGGTCTACCTGACCGTGAGTTGGTATCAAGGGATACCTGAATTTTCCACTTCTTGTAAGTGATTGAACAGTACTGACTGGCATTTTCATTGCTTTTGATATCTTTTTTTATATCCTTTTCCATCCTTATAAAGTTCCATTACCTTGTTATGCAGGTCTTTTAAAAGTTATTTTCTGCTCCCCATGACTCCGTATCTAGCCTGCTCAGTGCATCCACTTGAGAGCTAACAAACTCATTGACTATTTATACACAGACACTAATTGCAATTTAAAAAGCCACAGGTGTGGGAAATTATCCTTTAATTGCCATTTTAAACTGTGTCTGCAACAAGGCCAAGCATTCAATGGTATGTAAACGCTTGATTAGGGCCATTTGGGTGATTTGTTATTGTGTTTTAAAAAGGAGCCAAACAACTATGTGATAATACATGGCTTCATGTGTTCACTATCCTTCAATAAAGACTTTTTTTTTTGCATAATCAGTTATATTTTTAAAATCAATGCCAAAATTTCACACTTTTTGCCAGGGTATGCAAACTTTTGAGCACAACTGTACACAGAGACACACACGTAACATATGCAAATATCCCTTAACATATGAAGATACCATCTTGCATAACTACCATGTTCAGGTAGTTGAGGCTACAAAGCAAAATGGCTATATAACTTCACAAAACAGTGAATATATATCATGCCTGTTCAATGTCCTTACTTTCATCTGTAACTCAGCACTTAAGTGCAATGTAAACTTTTAAAACATTTTTTACAGTTGTATGTTTTTTCCCTTTTAATATATTCACTTCCCATCCATTTGTATGTTTTCGAGTTTAAAACACATCCTTTTGAGACTACACTTTAAAGTTGTCTTGACGAATGCGTAAATGTTCGTATAACCAAGCTTTTTCATTTTTGTAATTGGCCAGTGGAGTGCCCCTTTAACTAACAAAAAAAAAAAAGTGATACGTGTGATGTAATGCAATTGGGAATTAATTTTGTCTTACTTGTCATCAACAGGAAAGTGACAGATACATAAGTCGTTGGAATAAATACCTTGTGGAAAACCGAGAAAATGAAGATGTGAATCTGCAAAGTGACAAAGAGAAACATGCTCACTGTGATGGGGAGAAGAAATCCCCATTAAAGATCAGGTTTGTGTTTAAACTTTAAAATGTAGTGCCACGAGTTTAATGATTTTTATCTATATCAATAACCATTTGTATGAAATTTTATTTTTTATTTTTTTTCTGGTTTTTTTTTTTTTGCCTGCCTTGTTTGGCACTTGTTCTCATTCTGGTTGTTTTGAATGTACACACCTGGCACCATTCTAGTGTAAGGCATTTGATTCATGCTGGCCTCCTTATTCATGCTGTTTTCCCTAAATTCAAATTTGTGTTAAAGAAAATATTGTTTTGCAGCTTTCTACGGTCTAACATTGCACTCTTTAGCAACATCCCATTTTTCATTCTGTAGTGTTTCCTATTGTTTCATTTTTTTATTTTTTTTTCAGCATGGTTTTAACTTTTCCTGTGTATACACAGCCCTCTCTATATGTTATAACCTTAAAAATTCCCTTTCTGCTTTATTCTTTTTGTTAGAAGACAAAAGGATATGTCACTAGATGACCATGGATTTCATGATCTAGACTCTCGTTGTGTGAGAAGAAAGTGCAGCAGTGATTTAAGTAATCAAGTAAAAAGACTCAAGCCGTGTGAGGTTTGTAACCACATGCATTTTAACTAGACCTATCCTATACTAGTAAAAGTATAGCAACTATGACAATGCTTGTTCAAACTAAGTGTGTAACTTCCCATGTGGAGTTATTCCGGCATGAAACATTGAGTAGTGTAACACCATCATGGTCAGATCCTTGGTACAAGTGAAGGTCTGGTCACTATGGTATCCCGCATCAAACCCTTTACACAAACCTCTAAAGCCTAGAGAGGGTGCAGTCTAGAATGTACAGCACAGAGGACCTCTGTGTCTGTCTGGTGAATCAGTCCTAGTGAAGTCGATGTATTTAGCGATATTATATGCTACCATCCTGCAGTCAAATAGGGTGGTGTAGTTGCCGAGCAGTGTACTCTAGCCAAAGCAGGCTGGTCTGAGAAAAATCAAGGGAGTTTAAATTCTCCTCCCCTCCCAGCCCCCCGTATACCGGGCCATCCCGGTAGCACTATATAAGAAGGGAAAGAGGGGAGGAGGGGAAAGAGGAAGGAAAGTAGAGGGAGGAAAGCAGGGGAGGAAGAGAGGAGTGAGAGAAACAGAAGTAAAAAAAAAAAAAAATTCTCCTCCCCCACATGCAGCACCCCAGTACTTGTCAGAGCTTGTCACCTACAGATACCTGTGCGTTCAGTGCCTTCAAGATACAGTCACCGTCACGTCAAATCCCCCGTGCCTCCAGCCAGGGCACTGCCATTACCACCAGAATGTGACAGGCTAATTCTGCTGCTCCGGTCCCCTGGGGAAGTCTGAAGCCTCCATTGGTCTCCTCCCACAGAGAGTGAAGGCCCCTAAACTTCTTGGTATGAGCGTTGCGCCATGTATGTGCGCCAGGGGACCAATGTCAGGGTGCATTTGTTTTTCAATTTTCTTACCGTTAAGGACCAGGGCTGTTTTTACATTTCTGCAGTGTTTGTGTTTAGCTGTAATTTTCCTCTTACTCATTTACTGTACCCACACATATTCTATACCGTTATTCTCGCCATTAAATGGTCTTTCTAAAGATACCATTATTTTCATCATATAATTTACTGTTAAAAAAATTATAAAAATGTTTTAATGTTTTTAAAACACTTTTTTTTTCTAACTGACCCCCCAAAATCTGTTACGCATCTACAAAAAACACCCGTGCTAAATAGTTTCTAAATTTTCTCCTGACTTTAGAAAAACACAATGTTAACATGTTCTTAGCCTTTTTTTTTGCAAGTTGTAGGACATTGCTTTTTCAAAATATATATATTTTTAAAATGTTTCAATAGTGACATCGTACCACTGTTCTCTGTCATAAATCTCTGAATCACACCTCCCATGTACCTATTTTTTTAAAGTATACAACCCAGGGTATTCAATATGGGGTGTGTCCAGTCTTTTTTAGTATCCACTTAGTCACAAACACTGGCCATAGTTAGCATTTATATTATGTTTGTGTGTTTAAAAATGCAAGTAGTAGTATACGTATTGTCAGTAGTGCAATACGTATAAAATCCAAAGGGTAAAATAATAGTAGAAGGTAAAGAACTCACATGGCCAGCTCTTGTGTGAAGGGCGTACAGCGATACTAGCCTCGCTTATGGGATATGTGAAGGGAGTGCTTCTGTCAACACCGTCCTGTCATTCAAGGCTCCAAATAGGGATACAAAGAGGCGACAATAGTGCTCTCAATTGGGTAAAAGTAACTAAAATAATACAATGGGAATTCGGTTTGCGAATTTAATGCGTTCTCCGGGACGTTTCTTATTGCGAAAAAATTAATATTTTTATGAAGATTGAATGTATATTTTTAAAGTTATAGTACATGTGTTAAAACTGTATTTCTCTGCCTGTGATTACATTAACCCATTGTGTTCAGTATTTATATCACAAGCAGAGGGGAGGATTTTGTGTGGGAGTGTCTGAGTGTATTGTACGTATTGATTGGTTGTACTTCAAAACCCTGTGGGCAGTACTATGGTTGTAGAATGGGCATAAAAGCAGAGTGTTTGATTAAAAGCTAGAGTTCTACTTCACCCTCAATTTGGATTCCTGTCTCTTATTGGGGGAATCTGCTACAAGGGATTGCTATGCTCTGCATATTCCCTTGCTATAATCACTCCTAAGTTCTTTTAAGAGCTTGTTCCCGTCGTGCTCTCTGAAGGAGTCTACGGTGGTTATGGTGTCGGCTGGAGTGCTTGGAGACCTCAGGAAGCGCTAGGAGCATCCTTCAACGGAGGTACCCGGTACCCAGTCGGGGTGCCAGGTGATATGTTACAGTCTGACCCAAGGTTTCTGTATATCACTATAATGTTTCTTTACATATATATATATATATATATATATATATATATATATATATATATATATATATATATATATATATATATATATATATATATATATATATATATAAAATCAGTTTTCTTTCAAAACTGAACTGGATGAAATGGTTATTATATTAAAAAAAAATAGTGTTGAAGTGACAGTTCGTTAGGTGGAGGGCAACTTCTTTTTAAGCAAAGCAGAAATTGAAGATCCTCTAAGCCAGGCGTGTCCAACCCACAGGTTTGTAATGTGGCCCAGTTGCCATTATGGCAGTGTGGGAGTCAGGGAAGAGCACACAAACAGTACACACACACACACACACACACACACACATACATCACCCTTACACTAACACGCTTACACACACAGCACCCTCACACTAACCACACCCTTACACACACACACACACACTAACAGCACCCTGACACTAACACCCTTACACACACACTAACAGCACCCTCACACTAACACCCTTACACACACACACTAACAGCACCTTCACACTAACACCACCCTTACAGACACAGCACCCTCACACACTAACAACACCCTTACACACACACACTAACAGCACCCTCACACTAACAACACCCTTACACACACACCGCACCCTCACACTAACCACACCCTTGCACACACTAAAAGCACCCTTGCACACACTTCACCCACACACTAACAGCACCCTTGCACACACATACAGCACACACTAACAGCACCCTTACACATGTATGTATGTATGTGTGTGTGTGTGTAGAAGGTAAAGAACGCAGCGTGTGTGTTTCTGCTTTAGGGTGCACACCCTTATAGAATAGGCTGCGCATGCCTATGGTAGTGCATATAGCTGTTGCTACCAACAGAGGGTGCTATACAGGCTCCATAGCCAAATCTACCTAGTTCCTAGCAAGCATCAACATGACAGAAGAGCACACAAACAATTAACAATAAATACACATACATTACACACACCCTGCACCTACAATGGGCACAGGGTGACTTAAACATAAGAACCATTTAGGAACCATTATAAAGTGTCGTCCTGCTCCCAGGGATGGCGACTACCGTCATAGTATCCTTAAATATGGCAATCACAAATAAGGGAGTTATCTACTAAACAAATATTAATAAAAGGGCTTGTGAAGTTTTATTATATACATTATTTATATTATATATTTTAAGACAATTCCTCTTTGCTTAGTGTGACCCGGGGAAGCCACTAAGCTCAAAGCACAAGACCTGCGTAATTTGAAGGGTTTATATGCATAGATCCTGCCCTTTTTGTGCGGCAATGTTTGTTTTGCCATAAACACACCTCTAGTGGCTAGAAACACTTCCTAGTGAAGACTATAAATAATTAGATTTAATGACGGCAAACAGAGAAGCATCCAATTGGCATTTGCCGTGCGTGCCTAGTAGGTCTACAGTGCGTGTCATAGTGAAGAATAGGATAAGTCCAGAGATGATTTCAAAAGTGGAGGAGCAGCAGAAAGAAGACAGCCTGACACTGGATAAAATGTGAGTAAAAACAATATTCTTATTTTAAGAGGGGTGAGGTGATCTACATCGCCTAAGTAACTCTCCATCATTAACAATCAATATGTTAATTTAAATATTTGTATTCCTTTAACAAAAAAAAATACTGCTTCCAGTGTGCTATGTCAGCAGCTTGTTAAAATCAGTGTTGGAAGATAGAAAAGTGGAGCTTTAAAGTGGCTCTGTCACCTTCCAGAATAATTACATCATTGCTTGGGCTGCACGATATCCATTAGGAGCCACATCAGTGCTTTACTCTTGCTGATAAGTTAGAGCATAATTCTGATGTCTATGGGTGAGGGAAGCGGAGTTCCCATAGATATTGTTTCACTATGAGTAAGCCAGTGCCTGATTCCGACTGCCATTCCTGTTCCATTGCTAGTAACATCTTTTTGCTTAGATTTTGCCATTTGTATATAGTTCGCTAAACATCAGTTTTGTTAACTGCCCTTAAGTGTCTAACCCTATGCCCTCCCGCAGTCTCTCCCTTTGTCATAATGTGTGTGTGCTCTGTGTGGTGGTGCTCTGTGTAGCCCCCTTCCTGCTTGGCTTCTTTTGCAGGAGGAGGGGCTATGATCCCTGGTGATCCAATGGGAGGGATGGATGTCAAAACCCATGGTGGTGAAGCAGGGCTTAATTCTGCCTGGTGGTTCTAGATCCTTAGTGGTCTAGTAAGCAGCTGATGCATCCCTCCTTTATCGCTCCCCCGCGGTTCTGGCATTCTGTATTATTAATGAGGACTGCGAACATTGGTAGACCTCACACTACTTGTCAGAGAAGCAATACCCGCCAACCAAGGCAACCCTGCCATTTGCCTTCGGCAGGACAAAAAGAGTTTTAAAGAACTGCCTGCACAGTGCCTGGAACTGCTTATCCCAGGTGTTGGGCCATATAACTTCCATATCCTTTGTGTAATACTGTTTTAGTAGAGTTAAAAAGAAAATAATAATGTTAATTGGCAGTGATAATGTAGACCTGTTATCTCATGTACATTTACCGAAGCTTTGTAATAACCGGTTCCCGTGAGATGGACCTGTGGTGCCTACAAAGGTGGAACACTTCTTATATTAATGATGTATTGTCCCAGGAAGATACATGTATGGGAAACACAGATGGGTTTTGGTAGCTCCTTTGTCGTGGATATGGTTAGCGACTAGGTATGGTGCCTGTTTGGGGTTGCACCTCTCTGTGGAGTTAATGAAGTCTCAGGGGGACAAAAGAGATTAATAGAGCAATAAAGTTGTACTTCATAAGTAATATTACAATCTGCAGTACTGTGCTTACACAGTATATAGAGCACTTGACCTGGCTCAAAGAACAATTACTTGTGTGTTACTTTCAAAGGCTTGAATAAAGATCCCATAGAGCAAGGCTCAAGATTTTCACTAGCTGTTGATGAGTGAAAATTAAAATCTGAACAAAAAACAGACATACCTGTTTTCACTCGACTCTACTTCATTCACTATTCTGTGGAGCGTTCAATCCAACCTACGTGTTTAGTTAAATGCAGGTAAAATGCCCCATTACAAAACACCGTCCAAACTAGGAATTGCAAAATACTAGGTCCAGCAATTAAGATAAATTCCAAAAAACAAGAAAGACTAAAGGGTCTATCAAATGTTGGCCCAGTAGTCAAAGGGTGGACTATATGGGTAAGTAAGGGGCATAACCCCATATGTAGTTCAAAAAGAGAAGAAAGAGACAAATACTGCGTTGCTGTGCGATATGAAAGAAGACCCCAGACTTACTCTTGGTGCTCAAAAGCACCGCACAGACGCAGGTCTTACCCAAATACAATATACAGCTCAAAAATTGGGCAGATAACTAAGAGAAAAATCAAGTGAACTTAACCTTTATTACGTCATACAACACTAAAATAAATTGTGAAAAAACCCAAAAGGTGAAGAAAAAATCGTGCAAAGTGTATTCGTGGTTAAAAAGTGGGATCTAATGGAGTTTACTAGCAATGATCCAAGAAAGGACTAGTAGGAAGGTAGATACTACCAGTATAGATCAGTGTGCACCTATGGGGGCAATACCTTGACACATAGATATGTCTTGTTCCCAAATAGAGGTGCATCGTCTATGGTTCATAGTATGTAGTTGGTACAGTTATGGCACAGTGGGGTTAATATCTCACTTTACAAAAAAAAAGGTGACACACTGACCGAGAGACAGAACATCAATACAGTTCCCCCAGGTGAGCACTTTGTTATGCACTATGGACTGAAAAGCTGTCAGCTAGCATGAGTGTTCAATCAAAGGGATAGTCTCTTTAGCGGAGCTGCAATATTAAATCCCAAGATCTCCGCTAGTATAGAAGGTAATCCAAAGTAAAGCGCTGGAAATGAAGGCGATATCCCAAATCCCCCAGTAACCGGACTAAACACAGTTCTGGGAGTCAACTGACAATTTTATTCACAGCTCCAGTATTTATGTGATTTCCCCATGCAAGGGGTTTCCTTAGTTACTTTACAGGGGTATTACAGTAGAGGACTACATGGGGAACTGAATATACAGAGCATTTCTACCACCATGCACTGCTGTACGTGAGGGATACTCCCACTAGAATATCCTGTTAAGTAGATTATCCCTCCGTCCAGCAGAACTGGGTTTTAACACAAAATTCAATAACTTTAATATTATTCGTGTGATTCCCTTAAATGACCGTTCGGTAGATAGCTGGGGTCTGAGCGCACACTACCGCCCAGATCCCAGTCTCAATAACCGAACGTCGCACAAAACATACTTTTATATCATATTCTCCTAAAAGTACCGAATACCTATTGGGATCCCAATACCGAAAGATCGGGCCTCCGAACGGCCTGGAAGTCCAGCGGTGTTCGCGCCGTCGAGTGGCCAATTTTAGTTCCAGGCGCTTGACGACCAAACACCGCTGGGCTAACAAAGGATCCAAGATGGCTGACCGCCGAGTGGTTGGTAGCCGAACGACGGCCACCTAGGAAAGCAATTAACTACTGATTGCAATCGGTTAATGGGAGCCACACGACCCTCTGTGTGTGGGCTCCCGTTCGGTACCTTATTCGTTTCATGAACAGTGTCTAAAGTCACTGTTCGTGAAACTACCATATGAATGCTAGCGGCTTTCTGGTTCTGGGTACACTCTCTCGCCATGTGGCCCCATTGTTTGCACGTATGGCACTGGATATTCGCTCTGCCATTATATCTGGTGTGCCCCCCCGGGGTTGGCCGGAATGTGGTTGCTGTAGGTGCAGTAGGGGTAGCTGTATGAGGTTGAGCGGTGGGTCGAGGGTACCCTCGGTTGAGGTTACCGTGATGCCTCCTGGCGTCATAGGGCTGATCGGCTAGGCGTGCAGCTTCTGTTAGGGTGAGGGGTTTTCTATCTCTCACCCATTCCTGTGCCTCTGGGGACAGGCCATTGAAAAATTGTTCCAACAGCAGCAATTGCCGTAACTCCTCCATGGTGGTTGCTTGACTGGCCTGTATCCACCCCTGGGAGGCTTTGTCCAGTTTGTGGGCCCACTCTGCGTGGGAGTCTTTCTCTGGTTTGCGCAACCATCGAAACTTGCGCCGGTATGCCTCCGGGGTAATGTCGTATCTTTCTACTATAGCCTGTTTTACCCTGGCGTAATCTTTGCTGTCCTCCCTGGGTACAGCCCGATAGGCTTCTGCTGCCCAACCTGACAGTTTGCCTGCCAGTAACGGTACCCACACTGCCTGCTCCAAATCATGCAAGTCACGTAGCCTCTCAAAGTCTTGTAGATACCCATCAATCTCGTCTTTCTAGGGCTTTGCTAGGTTTGCCACAGTCTCTTAAAAGCACAGTCTGCGTTAGCAGTGAGACTAACAGAGTCTAAATGAAAGTACAGTAATAGCACTGTAATGTAACAAAGTGTCTGTGAAGGGAAACGTTCCCATTTACCAATTGTGACACTTTGAACTGTGCTATAAAGTAGGAGCCTGTCAACTGAAACACTGCTAGCCGGCTAGTGAGAGGTATTGATATTGCCAGATAGAGAGGCAAAAGACAGATTTACCAAGCAAAAATTACTGACAGAGCTATATACATAGGAAGCCATATATAATTAAACAGGCATCTATTTGTAATCCCTATAAGACCTGAACAGTATAAAGATTATAAAAGGACCAAACCAAATACTCACAGGTAACAAAACAATACAGTCTCAAAGTATCTGGGAAACAACAAAGTCAGTATAGTTTCCCAATTAGACACTTCGTACTGTGCCCCAGGTATGACTATAAGAGCAGTATATTATCAATGCGGTTATCTAATCAGCTGTTTAGTGCAGAGAGCGAGTAAAACACCCGTGCTGGATGAACCCATTAATATACTCATAAAGGATAAAGAGTAAATCCCCAAGATAAAATTGGGGTGAATTCCAAAAGTATATAACTTGTAAATGCTCAGTAAAGCTCCATTAGAATCCCTATTAAAATAAGAGCGTCATTACACAGCTCAACGCGTTTCGGCGCTTGGTTGCGCCTTTTTCCAGAGCAGAGTCAGAGTCAACGTGTGTTTAAGTAGCATAAGGCCGCGCCCCTCGGGACATCATGCAGCCAATAAGATAAATTCCAGTCCACTGCTTGTTCAAAATCTTTATATCATAAATTCATAAAATCATTAGACATATAGTGAAATGCTCCCAAATCTTGTCATGGCACTCTATGCATTTTGTGTCTCAAAACTCTTTATCAATACAAAGTAAGCAGTGTACAAGTACTTGCAGTATTTGAGCACACACGGCCTGCTCAGATAGTGCAAGTCACCTATTCAGCTGCTTTGCTCATCCCGACATTTTATCTGCCTTCCTCAAATTCCACGCCCTTACCACCGTCATTATTTGTGAATGCGCAGCTTCAGCATTCAGCGATCCTAGTAATTCTGAACAGACCGTGCGTGCTCGTGCTGTAAAATAAAGAAAATGTGAGGGGATTTCAAAGCAGGTTAGTAGGTACAACGTCCGAGCAACATAACCACTGCCATATACTGTAGCTGATATGGTACTAGGAGTGTCATTTTCATACTTTGAATCCAGATTTTTTTAATTTCTTTTTTTCCCCATTGTTAATGATAAACTGCTTGTGTTTGTGTCTTTGCAGGACAGGACAACTTTCATATCCACAGAAAATCTACAGCCACAGACTGAAACAATAGTAGCAACAGTATCCTCACTGCTGTCAGTCTCTCCCCAGTCAGGGTGTGTTGGATCTAAATGGGAGAAATTCCTATCTTCATCTGTTGATGCGGAAGAGAATGGAGAGTACAGCTCTGTGTCACAAACACTTGAGGAAAATCAGGATAGTTTGGCTTTGTCTTGGAGGAAAAATGAATGCATTAGCAAGGTGGAAGAAAAGTTTGGAGAATCCTTCACTTCCAACAAGACTATAATAGTTCCACCAGTCAGCAAGAAACACTCTGCATTTGGCTTATGCATTCAGGATGAAATGCCAAGCTGCTGGAAAATGGCTGTATGCCCGGCAAAGGCTGTGGATGCTCCAGTAACTGATCGCGCCAAAGAGCCTGCCCATAACTCCAATATCCACACATCTGTGGCCCACACGTGTGCGCGTACAAACCTCTTTCATACGGATGAAGACTTTGATGATGTATATTAAGTGTACTAGATTGTAATTTAATGTTACCATTGGAGATGAAAAGAATGAACATACATGAATAACTTTTTGCACAGTAACAGCCCATTGAACCTCAAGGAGGGAGACGGAAAAATAAATAAAAGCACAACCTAAGAAACTGTACAAGTTTCAGTTGACATTTTTTGGTGTTCTGCAAAATATTTCAGAAACCGTTCCAAGGAGGCAAAATTTAATACCAGGATTTAATGTTCGGTCAGTAGTTTGGTGATCTAGCAATGACATGCCTCACTTTTACATAGGGTGAAACAGGATGTGTGACATTTAGAGGCAGCCATTTCCATAGTGCAAATAAAGGAACAAAGTGTTTGTTATAGTTGATGTTATAATTAAACATGTTGTGACAAATTGGTATATTTATTAGTTATAGTATCTGCTATCTAGCTAAGCACTTTGTATTAAAGAGCTTCAATGGCTAGATCTCAGCTTACATACAGGGCCCTCTTTACCTTTTGTCTGTGTATATTGTATGTTCTCCCCTAATTGTACAGCTCTGCAGAATATGTTGGCACTTTATGATTTTGTGTGGGTGGATAGGTCTGTAATTGTGTGTGTGTATGTATATCTGTGCTTCTGTCTGTGTATATTCATGTGTATGTGTTTAGTAGATAACGCCTTAATTTGTGAGGGAACTCACCAAAGCTTGACTGGGGTCGCTCAGGAGCTCTTCCATACGACCAGGCTGCAGGTATCGTCCACTCTGCCTATACCGCTGCAGCCCTTCTTCCAGGCAGGGATCGTTCTCCCTGCCTATTCAGCTGCAGCTCTTCTTTCCGGAACACTGCCTATCATGTGATTTATAACTATTGTCTTTACAAAGGCAACTGCTGCTCTCAGGCCTAGCTTTCTTTACTTATTCCAAGGCTTGAGGGATCGTGTAGCCAGCCAACAGAGCCAAAGACTCTGTCACTGGGATCCTTAAATAAGAAATTCCAAAGAATTGGGGCAAATTCAACATTTATTTTACAGACACTAGATCAGGTGATGTTCAAATCTCTATTTGAAGTGTACAGGGAAGGGGAGAACAAGCCTTTTCCTTTAAATGTCCAAGGATATTTTGTCCTAGGATAAGCACACAGGATCCCTGGGGATAATTATTTCAAACTAATTTACATTCCTCAGTCGGAGATCTGGTATCCCATCCCAGTTTGTATTTTCATTAGTGTAAATACATTTCTTGTGTGTGCTGTTGTCTTGTAAGAAAAGGTGGGAGCTCAGAAAAAAAGTAGATTCTACAAAGTTGCCAGCAAGAAGCGTGTTTTGTATCTTTGCTGAGGTCTTGTTGGAAGCCATACAAGTTTAAAGGGACACTCCAGGCACCAAGACCACTTCTGCCCATTGGAGTGGTCTGGGTGCCAACTCCCACTACCTTTAACCCTGCAAGTGTAATTATTGCAGTTTTCAAAAACTGCAATATTTACCTTGAAGGGTTAAGTAGACAGCCACTAGAGTACACTTTCGTGTTCATAGAACACAAAAAATGTGCTATGTTGGGAGGTGGAGCCGACCAAGCTAGTGCATGGCCACGTTTTAAATCAGCTCCGGCGGCGCCAGACACACATCCGACCTGATCAGGCCACAAAACGAAAGATGGGTCACCCAAAACGAGCTGCATCATCCCAGCAAGCCCCCGGCAAAACCCCATCGGGTAAATCGAGCGCTTTCACTAAATATTTCCGCGTCCGGGCGGACAGTAATGCGGGTGCACTAGGCCCCAATATGGCGGCAGACTCCTCACCTCTTTGTATGTCCCCCTCCAGCCCGGCAGACTCAGAAATTTCGGACCCCCCGACAGATGGGGACCTGAAGGACATCCTTAGAAATCTGCCCTCCAAACAGGACATTGCAGGCATGCTGACTCAGCTAGAGGCCTCAGTCCAAGCCAAAATGGATGCATTTAACTCTGAAATTCGCCAAGTAGCTGACAGAGTGAGCACCCTGGAAGATGACCGAGATACTATGCATACACAGCTGAACTCCCTGCAGGCAGCAGTGGAACACCAGAACACTTACCTGTCCACACTCCATAGGTCCATGGATGACCTGGACAACAGGGGGCGCCGCAACAATCTAAGGATCAGAGGTCTCCCAGAAAACGAACAAGAAGATATCTACCTGACGTTGAATGAATTATTCAACTTAATTCTGGGTAAGCCAAGAGACCATCACATCTTACTAGATAGAGCACACAGGGCACTGAAGCCCAGAGGTATAGCGACTGACAAGCCCAGAGACGTCATCTGCAGGCTTCACTATCACACATGCAGGGAAGACATACTGCACACGCTGAAACAGACCTCACAACCTTTGCTATTTCATGATGCCCCAATAACCATCTACCCCGACCTCTCATGGCTGACACTACAAGCGAGACGGATTCTGCGACCAATTACGGACCAATTAAGATCCAGAAACCTGAGATACAGGTGGGGATTCCCACTGGCACTGAGTGTCACATATAAAGGCACTGAGCACACGATACACTCCCATGCGGACATACCACTCTTCACACAAGCCCTCAATCTCACAGTCCCACACATCATGGACTGGTACGGACTGCTGCAAACGCCACTTCCACCTCAACTACCGCAGAGATCCCGATGGCAACAAACGCCCAAGAAGAAAAGAACAGATACCCAGGACCCGACGCTACACTGAACAGATCCCAACCCTGCGCACACACTGCGACCTGCTGCCAGCCAAGGCTACATGGTCCACCACCCCACTAGCAACTGACACCTCCGGGACACCAGCTGCTGACTGAAGCCTAACCCGAATAACCAAGGGACATGCTGAGGTGACCATCTCCACCACGCTGCCAGAGACTTGGTAATGCTCCTCGGAGCCATCCCCACTTGGGGCTCTCAGAACACTTTTAAGCTCCAGGTGACGTATCCATATAATGCTAAACCCATACCGCTAGAGGGTGAACCGCCCTTGGGTATGATACAGAGCGAAAATGTCCTAAATGCCAATCCCTATAACGCCAGCCAACTGTCGCAATTCTCGTGACCTCAGCGGGAATAACATTCAACAGGGTAATCTCGCTTATTCTCCCATGACACTAACCATCCCCGGCAGCGGCATAGCAGGCAAATATACAGTCCTGATATACGGCTTCCACCTCTCCCTCTCACTATGCAGACCCGGGGGCTAGGCTGGCGGCAGGTAAATGGTGCACATTACTAGGATCTTCCCTATTGGCCCACCAACAGAAGTTTAGACTTACCATTAACGCATCACCCAAAAAAAAAAAAATTGTATATATAGAATAACACTGTTTATAATGTTTCTATAGTCTCCTCATCTAAGATGTCTAATTAACTGATATGTTGTGGAATGTATGTGTGGATGTGTGCTCTGGCGGCGACGGTTGATGACTGTTACTCCCTCTGCTCTCCCACGGGAGTCACTGGCTGACACCGGTTGCCCAAGACCACCTCCGCTCCCCATCTCTATTTGCATACTATCGTATGATTACTAGACGACTTGCATTGTACTAGGTCGACACGACCTACACCACGGTGTCACAAAAGTCCCAGGTGGCAACGTCCCACTCTGGGCCTGACACCAGAGGTTCTCCCCTCAGACTACTGGCTGACGCCTGGTGCTCAACCGGTGCCTCCTAGCAATCTCGGGGGACAGTTTCTACTCCGATCTATTTATAGATTTTTCGCCTGTATATAAGTTAATTGTTATATATTTTTTCTCCTTTTGTTGCTCCTCCAATCCCCCCCCCCAAGCATTCCCCCTCTTACCCACAGACACTCTCATTGGCACACCTACAAACGTATCCAGACCTGATGGCTACCATACAACTAGTCACACTCAATGTTAAAGGCCTCAATACCCCCGAGAAAAGATCCATAGCTCTTACAGAGATGCACAAACTACGAGCTAACGTGGTCTTCCTACAAGAAACCCACTTTAAGAAAGACAGAGCGCCCACTCTCAAGAGCAGGATATACCCAACAGGATTCTTTAGTAACTATAGTAACACCAAGGCCAGGGGGGTAGCCATACTCTTTGCAGCACACACTCCTTTCACCTACAAGGCTCACAAAACTGACGATGGGGGCAGGCTACTCTTGGTAAAGGGACCGATAGGCCAGACCTTACTTACATTTGCTAACCTATACCTACCCAACCGACACCAAGGCAAAGCCCTCAAGAAGTATCTTAACATAATTGAATCCTTTATGGAAGGCATGTTAATCATGGGTGGTGACCTGAATATATCCTTAGACTCTGCCCTTGACACGACCTCCCACTCCACACAATACCAAACTGCTGCAAGGAAACGGATAACACACCTCCTTGACCAAGCTAGACTATTTGACTGCTGGAGAACCACGCACCCACAAGATAGAGATTACTCCTTCTACTCCTCAGCCTCACGCTCATATTCCAGGATAGACATGATGTTCCTTCCCCAAGATCACCTGTATCTGGCCATCTCCTGCTCCTACGGCCCAATCACCTAGTCGGATCATGCACCTCTATCTCTGGCCATACAGATCCCTACGCTCCCACTAACGTCCTTTCATTGGAAACTTAATGATTTCCTCCTCAATGACCCCACAATCACAACACGTGTGACAACTGCACTTACCAACTACTTCCAAGAAAACACGCTACCAACCATCTCCCCCATGACCACTTGGGAAGCGCACAAATGCGTCATAAGGGGAGAATTACTAGCAATAGCGGCCACTCTCAAAAATAGGAGAACACAGAGGATAGACACACTCACACGGGAAATCAGAGCCCTTGAACACACTCATACCCTGGATAGTTCCCTATCAACCTATAACACTCTCATAACCAAGCGCACAGAACTGACGCAACTACTGCACCAACAGGCCAAGAAAAAGCTCCTCCATACCAGGCACTCCTACTATACACAGGGAGGTAAATGTGTCAAACTACTCGCCAATGCCCTACGACAGTCCAGGCAAAACACGTACATCTCCAAAATCAAAACACAAACGGGCACTATATCACACACCCTCCCGGACATCATGAAAGCCTTCCAACACTTTTATACCAAACTCTACAACCTCAGGGAGTCACCTCCAGATATAACCGACATAAAAAGGTACCTATCAACCAGGCTAAAAAATAAAATCCCTGACGCCGTGGCACAGTCCATAGACATGCCCATTACCACTGAAGAATTAAATTGCGCGATAAAATCAACACCACTAGGCAAAAGCCCTGGCCCTGACGGCCTCAGAGCCAAATACTACAAACAATTCGCCACACTCTTGGCTGAACCATATTTACGGGCATTTAATGCTCTTACCCATCCGGCCCCACTCCCGGCGTCGGCATTGGAGGCACATATCACTCTGCTGCCAAAACCAGGTAAAGACCCCAAAGAGTGCGGCAGCTACCGCCCAATCTCGCTCATTAATGTAGACTTGAAGATATGTACGAAAATCCTAGCCATGCGTCTACAACCTATACTACACACCTTAATCCACCCTGATCAATCTGGTTTCGTCCCTAAACGAGAGGCCAAACATAACACAACTAAAGTACTGAACCTCACCCATCTCTCCCGAACCACGCAAGGGAAAAGCCTACTACTATCTATAGATGCTGAAAAAGCATTTGATAGAGTAGACTGGACAATGCTGACCACCACCCTCCAGGCCATGGGCTTTGGCCCAAACTGGATGAAATGGATGGGAGCCATATACTCTCACCCAACGGCAAAACTGAGAATAAACGGCCAACTGTCGGGTCCAGTACACATAAAGAACGGCACGAGACAGGGCTGCCCTCTCTCCCCCTTACTCTTTATTCTCACCCTGGAACCCTTCTTACAGGGAATACGGGACCACAACACCATCCATGGCTTTAAAGTTCACCAACAAGAATTCAAGGTATCTGCGTTTGCAGATGACTTACTATTTTCCATCACCGACCCGCTCATCTCCCTGCCTCCACTGATAGCCGAACTGACGACATATGCCAAGTTATCCAACTTTAAGGTCAATTACACAAAGAGTGAAATCCTACCCCTCCTAATGGACAGACAAACACAAAACGCACTTAAAACCGCATACCCTTTTGCATGGGCTAGGAGGTCCATCACCTACCTTGGGGTCCATTTACCCAGACACTTGAAGCATACATACGATCTAAACTTCATGCCACTACTCACCGAGATATCAAAAGATCTAACAAACTGGCAGAGACCCGTCTTTAGCTGGCTATGTAGGATCAATATATTGAAGATGAATACATTGCCAAAGGTGTTATATCTCCTACAAACACTCCCCATTGCAATCCCCCCCTCTTTTTTCTCCAAGCTTAAACAAATATTTACAACCTTCATATGGGCGACTAAGCGCCCGAGAATAGCTTACACGATTCTGACAAGACATAGGGGAAGGGGGGCCTAGGCCTACCCCACATGGAACGCTACTATCAAGCGAGTATACTAACCAGAATATACGAGTGGACCGCAGAGCCCCCGCTGAAGCAATGGGTATATATAGAAAGCTCAATGTTCCAATCCCCACTATGCACAATCCCATGGCATGACAAGGGACACACACTCCTACCTCAACACTCACAACACCCAACGATCATACCCACACTACGCCAATGGTCGCGCATTAGACCTCAGAAAGACGTCTCACCACACCCTTCACCGCTCTACCCCTTGGCACACAATCCAAAGTTCCTACCGGGAACATACCCGCACTTCTTCTCCCAATTTCCATTGGTCCAAAAGACGAGATACCCAATGGTTAGTACAGTTATGACCCCAACTGTTCCGCTGTCTACACTAGCCACAACAGACCACCCTACTACCAAACAACATTTCCGATACGCCCAGTTGTCCCACTTCTTGAAGGGGGACCCACACTTTATTCGGGGAACAAGGGCACACACCACCTTTGAGACCTACTGCACCACACACAGCCTTCAGACCAAACACCTGTCTATTTTCTACAAACTCCTAAGCACTTCTAGTCACACCCTACTGCCTACATTCACGTCGGCATGGGAAGATGAGCTAAATATCACTATTCCTCAGGAAACATGGCATAGGATCTTCACGCACACCCATAAATCATCTGTCAGCACAGCAGTAAGGGAAAGCACGTACAAAAGGATATCCAGGTGGCATTACTCACCTACCAAGATCCATGTACTCTTCCCAACAGTACCTAAAATATGTTGGAGATGCGGGCAAACTAAAGGAACCACGGCGCACATTTGGTGGCTATGCCCGCCTATTCAAACCTATTGGCAGAGACTAAGAAGCCTAATAACATCTATCACGGGCCACCAGGTATCACACTCCCCCGAAACCTTCTTATTCCTCATGCACACCACCCACATGCCTAGCCACCTACGCACACTCATAAACCATATGCTGACAGCAGCAAACATGCTGATACCACTTAAGTGGAAAAGCACTGGGGTCCCATCAGTACGTGAGTGGATACAGAAGGTGGAATTCATACGGATCATGGAAGAATTAGATGCCTCATACTCGAATAACTACACCACATACACTCCAACATGGCAGCCATGGTTGACCTACCTAGAGCGTTAGAGATACCTAAATGCCACTCCCACCCGACCCATCCACTACCTGCATGACCTCTATCCCACCACCCCCCCCGCCCTGGCTATGCAACACCAAAGGTACAACCCTACGAGCCGAACCCATACCCCCCGACCAAAATCGGTAATATGTTCATTACCTGGATTCACTAGAATATTATCCTGTTAAGTTACACAATGTTACAAATGGGACAACGGGAAAAAATGCGCAAATACTAAAGCCTGTAAATTTTGCAACGATATTTGATAAGCTGATGTGGCTACTGTTTTATATGTCTTGTAACACTTTTTTCTTTGCGCAATAAAATAAAGATTATAAAAAATAAAAAAAATGTGCTAGGTTGCTGGATGTCCTCACGCTATGTGAGGACCTCCAGCGTCGCTGAAATGCTTTATTCAATGCTTTCCTATAGGGAGGTCTAATGCACATTAGGTGTCGCCAGCCGCGCATGCTCAATAGGTCTCCCCCGTCGGATCACGTTGGTGGGGGAGGAGAGTGAGTGGACCCTGACCCAGCGCCAAGGGACATCGGTGCTGGATAAACCCCTTCAGCAACTTGGGGTGGGAGGGAAAGGGGACCTGCAGTGCCAAGAAAACTGTTTGTTTTCCTTGCAATGGAGAGTCCCTTTAAGTCATGCTAAGGAACCATATTCATTGAAGTGTATTGCCAGTGAAATAAGCTAATTCGTATACTTTGTAACAGCAGGAACATACAACCATACTATATACTAGGTTGCTGGTGATTCAGATTCCAAGCAAAAGTAACTGTGGAGCTTAGCGTTGCAGGTTAGGCAGAGAAACCCAGATGACAGCAGGCCGTAAGGGGTGCCAGAAGCCAGGGCCATATCGTCACACTGGTGTTTTTGGGGGGTTTGTTTTTTTTCCCTTTATATCCTATTCACACATATATGGAATTATTTACTAAACTCTGAATTAAACTAAAATGCCAGTACTATCTGGGGTCATTGAAACCTGAAAATTTGAACTTTCTTAATACTATTTAACAATGTATTGATTTTGCAATACTGATTTGGAATGAACCTGAATGTAGTCCAAACTACAGCCTGACCATGTGTGACAGAAATACAGAACCATATGGCATGACTCAAAATAAAGAACCATATTGCATAAATTCAGTCTTAGCAAATTTGTATTGCCAATTTTCAGTTTGGCTATTAGAACCCCTTCAAAATGTGAATATGATGATAGGACATTATCTCACAATCATAACCAAGAAACTACCGGTAATTGTGAATAATTAAAATAGGAACAATGTAAATGCTAATTGCAAATTAGTGCAGCATAATCTGCCCTAATCACTAAAGTCGAAATGGTCCCGGAGCAAAATTACATACTGGGCCATTTGGAATGCAAAATGCAGACATTGTTCACAATATTTCATAATGTCTGCATTGTTCGTAAACAATGTATGTAACAAGTGGCTCTCAATAAGCTAGAATTTGGTCTGGATCTCAGACAGCCAAAATCCTGTGTCAGATTTTACAAACAAAACTATTGGCAGCACTATAACCAGCAGGCAAATAGTTTCATTAAAAAAACAAAAACACTTCAACAGCTAAGGGTTAACCCATATGGCGGCTGGTCATTGCTTGCTAACTAGTAGCCACATTAAAAGTTGTTAAAATAAAATGTTTCCCCTCTAACAATAGGGAGGTGTAATACCTCCTTTATCGGGACAAGAGTGCTGCCAGCAGGGGAACTGCCTGAACTGACAGGCAGTCCCCCTGCTGGTGGGAAAAAAAAGTTTACATAAAAATAAATAAATACAATAAAAAAAAATATATATATATATATAAATACACTGCTCAAAAAAATAAAGGGAACACTTAAACAACACAATGTAACTCCAAGTCAATCACACTTCTGTGCAATTAAGCTGTCCACTTAGGAAGCAACACTGAGTGACAATCAATTTTACATGCTGTTTTGCAAATGGGATAGACAACAGGTGGAAATTATAGGAAATTAGCAAGACCAACACCATGCAGGACGTTTGGCATTTGCCAGAGAACACCAAGATTGGCAAATTCGCCACTGGCGCCCTTCACAGATGAGAGCAGGTTCACACTGAGCACATGTGACAGACGTGACAGAGTCTGGAGACGCCGTGGAGAACGTTCTGCTGCCTGCAACATCCTCCAGCATGACCGGTTTGGTAGTGGGTCAGTAGTGTTGTGGGGTGGCACTTCTTTGGGGGGCCACACAGCCCTCCATCTGCTCACCAGAAGTAGCCTGACTGCCATTAGGTACCGAGATGAGATCCTCAGACCCCTTGTGAGACCATATACTGTTGCGGTTAGCCCTGGGTTCCTCCTAATGCAAGACAATGCTAGACCTCATGTGGCTGGAGTGTGTCAGCAGTTCCTGCAAGACGAAGGCATTGATGCTATGGACTGGCCCGCCCGTTCCCAGACCTGAATCCAATTGAGCACATCTGGGACATCATGTCTGGCTCCATCCTCCAACGTCACGTTGCACCACAGACGGTCTGGGAGGAGATCCCTCAGGAGACCATCTGCCACCTCATCAGGAGAATGCACAGGCGTTGTAGGGAGGTCATACAGGCACAGGGAGGCCAAACACACTACTGAGCCTCATTTTGACTTGTTTTAAGGACATTACATCATAGTTGGATCAGCCTGTAGTGTGTTTTTTATCCTTTAATTTTGAGTGTGACTCCAAATCCAGACCACCATGGGTTGAAAAATTTGATTTCCATTTTTTTAATTTTTGTGTGATTTTGTTGTCAGCACATTGAACTATGTAAAGAAAAAAGTATTTCAGAAGAATATTTAATTCATTTAGCTCTAGGATGTGTTATTTTTCCCTTTATTGTGTTCCCTTTATTTTTTTGAGCAGTGTATATCTTATATATAACGTCATACTAAGTGTATTTTTTTAATTAATATATACATATATTAATATAAAAATACACTTGGAGTAAAATTACATGTGTGTGTATGTATGTGTGTGTGTGTATGTGTGTGTATATATATATATATATATATATGTATACATATATATAAAATGATATTTATTATTATAAACAATAATTGTATAAAAAAACTGTAAAATTTTTTTTTTTAAATTATATATATGGGGGCGGAGCATAACCTTCAATGGAGTAAGACGTGTGCTCTCTCAGCTCTCTCACCCCGGGCATACAATCAGCATCCATCAGCCTCCACAAATGTGCACCTCACCCTCAAAAACAACCACAGACTCACAGCAACCCCACCACTGCTTAATCAGATGGGTGGAACAAAAAAAAGAAAAGAATCCACGCCGTCAGTGGCCACGATGTTCCGCGCCAAAGATGACAGGTAGACATCTTGGGCCCAAAGTCAGGCGGACACAGGCTCAGACTCGGATGAGAGCGACAGAGAAACTACCCAAACATCACCTCTTACCAAAGAGGATCTCCGGAAAATGCTCAAAGAAACATCTGCAGACATTAAGGCCTACACCACAGCCGCACTCGAAAAACAAATAGCAGGCCTTAAGGAAGAAATAGAAGCACTGGCCTCCCGCACAGCCACCACAGAACTCCTAATAAAAGAAACCCAAATTCAAACAGCAAACAGCAACAGCTACACTTCTATCAAGATCTGTCTCCATCAACATTGAGAAAACGTCGAGAGCTGAAACCCCTCACCACCTCATTGATCGAAACCGGGTGGCGCTATATGTGGGGGCACCCCTTTAAACTAACAACGAAAAAGGGAGAACAAACCTTCACCCTCCACCAGGTCACAGACATGCAAGATTTCGCAGCACACCTGGGAATCCTGTTACGGTATCCACCGGATGATTCCGACCGCACCACACCCGGAGACAGTGGCTGTAAAGGAGGACCCCACTCCGGCACGACCCACATGCAGCCTAAGAGGAAATCCCCACCAGCCTCACAAGAGCTGACTCAAACGGACACCTGAGCAGTAACACAAGCAGCAGCCGGAACTCCTCTGGCAGTTCAAAACTGAGCGAAAAGCTCCAACTCACGAACGTGGCTCAAGGACACTAATAATCTGGTAGTATACACTACAACATGTTAAACCTTGGTTAATGTTAATGTTTATGTTAGTTTAAAACCGTTATGATTATATGACATACTATGGAGCCACAGGGCCTCACACCTGTTTAAACTGCAGCGCAGGCCCGGACAGCCCCACTCAAAAACCCGTAATAGCGACACGCGAGCGCAGGGGACAACACGGACGCCCCCTAATCACAAATTTATTCAGAGGCTGCATAACCGCTCCTCAGACAACCAAAAAGATTATACCGGGGAAAACAACTGGCCACATGAAACGACCAAAGGACACTTCGGTCTCTCTTATGTTTATCAGCTCAGCCCAGTATTTACATAAATTACCCTACTATTTACAATATGGCTACAGTCAGGAGCCAGAAATAAATCTCTCTCTTTTTTTCCTTTTGTAAAGTAGAAGGAAGGAAAGAGATTAAGGGGAACATACTGCAAAGGCCAAAAAACCTCACGGGGCATTTTAACTAGAACGAACCGGTCTGATACTAGAATAGGTGCCCGGGGGGAATACAACACCCCGCACTGGACTTTGCAATGAAAGACAGGAACAAAGGGGGCAGGCAAAGCTTAAAAAGCAATAAGGATGGGCCAAAGATGGGAATGAGCTAAAACTAGGGCTTGACGGGCGAAACTACGATAGAGGTTAAAGGGCAAGCCGCCCAAGGGGCCTACTGGGAGGGAAGGGGCGGGCCACAACCTAGCGTTTTCATGCCCCAAAGCCCAGACAACAAAGGGCTGCGAAGACACAAGGTGTAACACTCAGCTAAGGGGAATGCATAGAAAAAGATAATCAGCAATACTACAGCAACAATCCCTAGGGAAGCAGTAATGTATTACCAATGTGAAATAAGTATGTTTAAGCATGTGTTATAATGAATGGTGCAAGAGGTTCACTAGACCCACTGGGATCACCCCTCACACAACAGCAACTAACCGACCCCGGACTCCCTCACAACCCATAACCGCATATACCACATTTGGGGTAAAAGGGGAGGAGAAGTAAGGATGCCAGGCATCACCCCCTGGCGACATAAGTACAAGACGCAGCCCAATACACAAAACCCGACCCCTCCAGGGACCCCAAAAAACAACTATAATTACCCTACTCTACCCACAAACTCTAGAAAATGCAGAAGTCACATTGAGTCAGAGGTCTGCCAAACAAGCTCAAACTACAACTATAACTCCCCAAAAGGCTCAGTAGACCCCGGACACAAGACCCCCAATGCCATATCCTACTCAGACCCCAAAAAGCACTAGCATAAAGCTACAAATAAAAACAGGTATATACATATAACATTGATTGCTCTTCCTTTGCATATACTTTTGCATTCCAGCAAACACCAGCCCTGCCACCATAGGCGTGCGCAGCCTATTGCATTAGGGTGTGCACCCTAAAGCACAAACACACGCCGCGTGTGTGTGTGTGTGTATGTATCTATATCTATATATCTATATATCTATATATAGATATATAGATATATATATATATATATGTATATATAGATATATACACACACACACACATACACTGCTTTGTGTGCTGTTAGTGTGATGTGAGGGTGTTTGTGTGTGAGGGTGTTTGTGTGTGTATGTTTGTCCTGTGAGGGTGCTGTTTGTGTGAGTGTCGTGTATTTGTGAGGGTGCTGTGTTTTTTTTTTAAAGGTGCTGTGTGTGTTTATGAGGGTGCGGTTAGTGTACTGTGTGTGTGTGAGTGAGCTGTATGTGTGTAGGTGCTGTATGTGTGTGTGCTGTATGTTTGGAGGGATTTGGCAGATAAGTAAATCCTTGCTGCCATGTGCCATCCCTGGTGGTCCAGTGGAGAGTGAACTCTAGCCTGCGGGGCTAGAGTTAACTCTCGCGAGATCTGAGCATTGCCGCAGCAACACTCAGATATTGCGAGAGGAACCTGGCGGAGCTTCTGTCTAGAGCTCCCTGGGTCCTCTCCTGCCTCCCTCCATGCTGCTGTGGGCCGGTGAGGTAGATCTTTGGTCTCCCTGCCGGCCCATGGAGGCTTAGAGCAGAGCCGGCACTCAGATAGCGCTGGCTTTGCGTGTGTGTGTGTGTATGTGTGTATGTATGTATGTGTGTATATATATATATATATATATATATATGCATACACACACACTCACAGACACATTCAGACACACACACATACATACTCACAGACACACACACACATTCACAGACACACACTCACACAGACACAAACATACACTCACAGACACACACTCACACAGACACAAACATACACACACTCACACAGACACACATTCACAGACACACTCACTCACTGACACACTCACACACATACACACACACTCACACAGACACACACATACACTCACAGACACACACACACACAGACACAAACATACACTCACAGACACACACTCACACAGACACACATTCACAGACACACTCACTCACTGACACACTCACACACATACATACACTCACACACATTCAGACACACACACACTCACACAGACACACACATACACTCACAGACACACACACAGACACACACACACACACACACACTCACAGACACACTCACACAGACACACACACTCACACACAGACACACACACACACTCACAGACACACTCACACAGACACACACACTCACACACAAGAACAAATTATTATATTTAATTTAAAAAAAATGTCCACCCAGCCTCCTACCTGGAGTGCTGGCGTGGAGTTTTCCCTGGGGTCAAGTGGGGCGGGCGCCTCTCTGCAGCTCAGCGGCGGCGAGGGAGCTGTCTACTGTCTGCTCCCTCTCGCCGCGCGGGGTATGTCTGCTGTAGCTGGGAGCTGGAATATGCGGCTGAGCTGCAGAGGGGGGGGGGGGAAATCCATCATCCCTTCCCCCCCCATGACAGGGACAAGAGGTGAAACAGGGGGTGCTGAGTGCCTGCAGGAACAGCGTTCAGCTCAAAAAAAGTGCAGGAACACTGTTCCTGCAGGACTCAAACCATAGGCGTGCCATGGGGATTAGGGACACCCGGCACACCCCGTGCGCACGCCTATGCCTGCCACACGTAACACCGAGGACAGACAGAACACCCGTACCGGACAGAAACGCCATGGAAGGCCTTAGGCAGACCAACAACAAACAGATTCCTAACCGGGACACAACGACACCCAAACAGGTCAGCAGACATAACCCACTAACCATAGTCACCACAGCACCTCAAAACTAACATGAATATACGCACCACCCACCAAATAAACATTAACAAACAAACACAACCAAGGACCACATACACACGCAGCCAAAGGAAGAGGCACACAGACCACACCAGCAAACAACATCCACACGAAACCATCACTAACAAACTATGACCCCACAAATCACTGCTCTACCACTCGGCAGCTAAAAAACCGACCCCCCATCACTTCCTCACTCGCACAATACGAGGGAATCTAACGGCATAACAGTAACAACTACTCAACCCACCCCACCCGAGATTCACCCATGGAAACAAAAAAGAAAACCCGGGAACGGAGAGGGAGAGGCACAGCACCGAACCACCTCCTTCCTCACAACCCCAGATAAACAAATACCACCAGGAACACTTTACCAACAAGCAATAAGTACAGACACACAAACCGCAAGACATACGCAACCAAAAAACATCTACACACGCGAACCCCACCGCCCAAAAGATGCCTGGCAACTAACTAGTAAGATCCAACCCACCCCCACACTCAGACCCATCTGGGACACCCCCCACACCCACAAACCCCCTCCCTACACCATCACCCCTCACTCCACCTCTATTCTGGCATCTCTTTCCCCCCCCCCACAACCAACAACCCCATACACCCTCCACAACATACACATCAGGAGCAACACCGCACCGTCCGGCATGCCGGCCACTCTGACCTGCCTATCAATAAATTGTAAAGGCTTAAATAATCCTGCCAAAAGACATCAACTTAAGAGATGGGCAAACAGATCTAAAGCGGACATACTCCTCCTTCAAGAGACGCACTACACCCAAGCCAAACAATTCCCTCTCCTGAGCCGACACTACCGAATTAATCATTTCGCTAGCTCTCCCCACGACAAACATAACGGGGTAGCTATCGTTGTACGAAAATCATGCCCACTCGCCATTCAACATACAATAGCAGACCCACAAGGCCGATACCTCACAGTCACAGGCAAAATAGACACACACTCATACGCATTTACCTCCTTATACGCCCCAAACACACCCTCCAGTACATTCTGGCAGACGATACTGGCACACCTAGCCCTCTTCCCCTCCCATCATTCCATACTGTGGGGATATTTATGGGATGATAATATTATACAGTTGAGAATTGCCCACTATTTCAATTCTCTTAGATCTTAGAGATCGTTATCATGTAAGTGAAATGTATTCCATACAAATAAAATCACAATTTGTTATAAAAATAGATATAATTTATTGTGACAAATAAAATAATAATAATATTAGGCAGCATGCATGATAAAAATCTGTAAATATTTAGTATAACATAAGTATGTAATGGCAATGTTTAAACACAGTACAAAGCTAATGTGTCAACTGTCAAGACTTACACGATTTATGAGGGTACATCACAGACACAGAAAGCTAAACTTCCAGCGAAAAGCCATAAAACCTTGGCTAACAGTTAGATCAACTGAGTAACCCTTTCAATGCTGGCTAGATCCTCCTAGGCATATAATATTATATTCTCATGTAATTTTCAATTAAAATAACATTTGAACCGGCTCATTAATCATTTCCTGGAACCATCCAATAAGAATAATCTACCAGATTTTTACTAAAGCCGAATTTTAATTTGCTTAAAAAGATATCTTATCTTATTTTAAAGCAAATCAATACACCTGGATAAAAACAGCGGTATGCTAACACGTGATGACAATTTTGACGTCATTTGGGCTTATCTAAAATGACTACCATAACTTAAATTTGCTGTCAGTTCACAGCGTTTGCCTCAGTCTTTGTGGCAATGACTTTGATCGTAATTTCTAAAATTGACAGTTCTAAACTCAATTTCACCCCTTACTTACAATGGGACCTTGTAAAATTTAGAGAGTAAAATTAATTACTTAGTCTTCTCTGTCACTAGTGTCTGTGTTTAAAATTATTTCTATTCCATTAACATTTAAACAGAGCATTCCATCCCCCTGCTTCATTGCTTATCATTTGGCTTGTTTACATAATGCATTCCTTAGCTCAGGCTAGTGACTAGTTACAGAAAGGAAAGAAATGTTGTGTCTGTATTGCCTGAAATCCAAAATGGAGTCCGCTCTGTTCTGAGTGACTGGCAATATACACTTTTAATTTCTATCTTAGCACAAAATGTCTGCCGATATAAATATCCTGACAATACTCGGCGGAGACTTCAACACCACCCCATCACCCTCAGTAAACAGACACCACGCACGGGCACGCGCCCAACACAGACAACCGACGGCCAAAGCAGACAAACTGCTCTCTTCATTCATCTCACGCACCCACTTAATAGACGTCTGGAGATCCCAACACCCTACCTCTTTAGATTACACCTTCTTCTCACACCCACATCAATCACACTCTCACATAGACCTTTTCCTCATCTCCCCAGCATTAGCACCAATGGCCAAAAACACATCCATAGGCCCCATCACGTGGTCCGACCACGCAGAAATAGCATTAGCAATTAACCTACCGTGCACAGTTAGACCATGGTCATGGAGACTAAACCCCCACTTGTTACACAACCCACAAATCAGACAAACGGTTGACAGAGCCATTACAGAATACTTCCAATTAAACAAAGACACGACCACCTCAGAAGGGACCTTGTGGGCAGCCCACAAGGCAGTAATCAGAGGAGTCCTGTTAAATCAAGCAACTATCCACAAAAAAAACAGGTAGCCCACTTAGAACAAACTCTCACGACTCTCAGAACCCTTGAAGCAGAATTGCATCACCTATTAACCCAACGCAAGAATTAAACGAACAAATTAAAAAATGTCAAACAGATATCAAGGCATACATGACGAAAGACTCAATGAAAGCCCTACTCTGGTCAAAACAACTCTTCTACGACAAAGCAAACAAAGCGGACACGCTGCTTGCACGGAGACTTAAACAAAGAACCGAAAATAAACTGATGCACAAAATACGCACACCAAAAGGCACAGTCACAGAGGACCCAGAAACAATAGCTAGCGTCTTTCTAAAATATTTCGAGGCTCTATATGATCACACGCCGGAAGCACGCCAAGACCCAATATCTATTAAAACACTTACAGACCACTACCTCGATCGGGTAACATTACCCTCCCTCCCTAGAGAAACAGCACAAACACTGGCCAACCCCATAACATCGGAGGAACTCACGGGGGCGATAAAAGCACTAAAACCCAACAAAAGCCCAGGCCCAGATGGATTCACTGGACTTTACTACAAAATGTACGCTCCCATCTTAATCCCACACCATTGTAACCTGTACAACGCCATACTACAGGGCGACCCACTACCGAAAGACATGTTACAGGCAAACATATGCCTTCTCTCAAAATCTAATAAAACACATCTAGAACCAGGTCATTACTGACCGATATCCCTTCTCATCGTAGATATCAAACTGTTCACCAAAATCCTTGCAGACCGTCTCAATCCCCTCATACCCAAATTAATACACCCAGACCAAGTAGGCTTCATACCAGCACGACAGGCTAGCGACAACACAAGACGGACATACGACCTCATATGGGCAGCACAAACTAGACACATCCCAACCCTTTTCTTATCACTAGACGCCGAAAAGGCCTTTGACAGACTGCTTTGGCCCTTCCTATTCGCCACTCTAGAAAGATTTGGATTCCCACAAACATTCATAACCGCTCTGCAAGTACTATACGCCACCCCACAAGCCCATCTCCTACTTCTTCTAATACACCCCCCCTTCTCAATTCATAATGGCACATGCCAGGGATGCCCTCTGTCCCCAATCCTCTTCGCGCTCTCCCTTGAACCGCTCCTACAAACACTCAGAATGGACACAGACATAAAAGGCCTAAAGATTTGTGAAGAAGAGTACAAAACCGCAGCCTATGCGGATGACCTGCTCATCACAATAACGGAACCAGTAACATCCCTACCACCACTCCTACAAGCCCTAGAAACTTACGCCAGAGTATCAGGATTAAATTAAATATCGACAAGACAGAAGCCCTCGCCAAACACATAGACTCCCCCGCTAAAACAGCTATACACAAAATCTACCCCTTCGACTTCACACCTACATATATGAAATACCTAGGGGTAGCCATACCAGCGGACCTCTCTCGTAGTTATGCGCTAAATTACACACCCACGATCCAAAAAATCACACAGGACATAGAAAAATGGCAAAACATGCTGATATCCTGGATGGGAAGACTGGCATCAGTCAAGATGAATGTCTTACCCAGACTTCTATACTTATTCCAAACCTTATCGATCCCAATCAGAAATGCAGACTTCAAACTACTGCAATCCACAATTGATAAATTCGTCTGGGCCAACAGACGAGCCAGAATAAAAAGACAAACCCTATATGTACCCCACAAAGCAGTAGGCCTAGGCCTACCACACCTCACCCATTATTACCAGGCAGCGCAACTAACGCAAGCACAAAACTGGCATGCCCCCTACGGAGCCAAAAGATGGGTAGACCTCGAACATGATATATTTGGCAGAGACATCCCCTCTTTGTATATATGGCTACCCAAATCAGCGGGACCTCCTCTACCCCGAACATCCCCCGCAATCATCAACACAATCAATATATGGGACAAAATAACCCATAAAAGCGGACTAACGACACAACCCTCACCACTAACACCAATACTCCGCAACACACAATTCCCACCAGGCATGACACCGAAAGATTTAGTCCGTTTTGAAGAAAATGATCTCACACGACTATACCACTTCTACAGTAACCAACAACCAATACCATTCACAGACCTCCCGCAAACCACGCCATATCGCACCTTTGACATGTTCCGCCATTTACAAATCAGAAGTTTCCTAGAAACACCAACAATCAAACAGGCCGGTACCAAGACACTTACACCTTTCGAAAAACAATGTATACAAACGCCAACACAAAAAGGACAAATCTCGGAGCTATACTCCCATATAATACAAAACATCAAAGACGGAGCACTTACATACGTGTCGGCTTGGGAGAGGGACATAGGACTGGCGGAAGACCCAACAGACTGGGCCGATATATGGGAAGCCACAGCAACCATATCCATATGTGTAAACCACAAGCAACAGGCATACAAGACGCTCGTGAAATGGTACGTCACCCCCTTAAAACTCAAACAGATGGGCAGGTCAGACAACGACCTATGCTGGAAAGGCTGTGGGCACAGAGGCACATACATCCACATGTGGTGGGAATGTACCCACACAGAACCACTATGGAACCAAATAGTAACCATGGTATCACAGATCCTGCACGCAGACTTTCACGGCAAGGGTGCATAATTTATTATTACACTATGAAATATCATCCTTTAATGTAATTTGTGTAGTAAATGGCACAAATTACAGAGATGGTATTGTTGAGATCAAAAGAGGTTACATCTTTTGAAGCTGGGACCCCCACAGAGGTCAGATGACAGAAGGGGTAGTGTGAATGGCATAGCAATGTGAAAAAGATTTTACTATATGGATGTGAAGTAATTAAGACTCTGCAAGGTGTGAGGTTGTACACTTGGAAAAAGTCTGAATGTCTCTTCATCCATTTGGCATGTACCTTGTAAAGGATAGTTCAATCATTTGAAATGGTAATGGGATTAGTTTCATGAAGATCCTTGTGTTCCAGTATTTTATCCAAGAGAAACATTAATACTTACCCACAGTTTAATAATTAAGCCTCATTTTTATTATATTTGGAATGGGATAAGCCCACTCTCTTAATTAAGCCTAAACATGAGTTGCACAACTAAAACCGTGTGGCAGGAATTGTGCTGTCTGTCCTATTGGATTGTGGGCGGGGCGTGCCACATGTCTATGGAATGGGAAAACAATAACAAATTCATAGAGGCAATTATTATTTCTGTGGCAAGTACAGTAGAGGAGATAAAACCAAAAGTTTATATGTGGCTTGTTGTTTTCTGGAACAAAGGAGGTGGTCACTTAGTATCCCTATAGGTATTCCTTGGCTCCACCCCTGGGTGAGGCGTGGTAATTTACAGGGTATATCTCCTGTGATCCTGAAGGGCGCTGGTGTACTTGCTTGGGGCCAAGATCTAATTTTAAGTGAGTCACCATCTTTCCTTGCCAGAGACCCCCTGGACAGAAGTTGTACTTTGAAAACCTAAGTGAGTAATTTGGACTTCTGTACTTTATCCTTTTTGTTTTTATCTGTTGTTGGTGTAAATAATTTGTTTATCATATATTGTTAAATGCACTGTGACTATCTTCTACTCATAATAAACATTAATTTATTAAGTTTTACCTTTGTCTGGTTAAGAACCACGTTACCTGAAGAGACTAGCTAGTATTTTTGTAATTCCTTAATGTTGTACTAAGTAATATTTGGTGGGTTTTATTGTTGATTTACCTGGGGGACCAAGACATCCCATTTATAAATTGTCTTGGTGGTGGCAGCGTTAAAATAGTAATAGTTATATTATTATGTTTAAGTGTGGGTGGTGTTAAAGTAGGGGTTTTGTCATTATTTCCGGTCTAGTGCAGACAAATAGTTAACTTTAACCCTTTCACAACCACAACTACATCACGCGCACTCTTGGAGTAGGGTGTGTTCGTGACACGCGATCCATGGATATGGCTCCTATCCAAACCCATGGCCGATACACCAAGATCCCAAAACAAACTAATCGCCAAAATCGCACTCGCAACAAGGAGAGCAATCGCTGAAACATAGGAAAGCCCAGACACACCTACAATAGACACAGTAAAGCGGAAAATTAAAGACGCAATCAAAATGGACGAAATGCCCACACTGGTCCATGACACAACCAAACATTTCAATAAAATTTGGGACCCATGGTTCTATGAATTCCCACTAACAACCTGAACCACCAAAAACCAACCACACAAGATAACATCCCACAAACACAATAGCTACAAACACCGTACAATCATAACCCTCCCAATCCCCCCACCCCTTTCATACCCCACACACACATACACCACTCAAACCAACACCACTCCCCACACAGAATAACACACAACTAACTCCCCACTAAAAGCCCAATCAAAAGCAATATGAATCACCAACCAAACAGAAATTGCATCACCTACAGACAAACAGATAAGTACAGCGAGACATCTATAAACCCCTAGAATAGCCTAAACTAGCTACCTCACATCACGTTACAAAAAGGAGACAAACCTAGAGGAAAACCGATACTAAGAGAAAGAAACACGAAGGGTACTTAGAGAACACATAAACACCCACCAACATTAAACAGAGCAATAATATCCCCAACCAGCCTAATGTGAAAAAACCGACTACAACAACTAAAACGCCCAATATAAGCATATCACACCACAACACACAAAAAGATGGAACAACCCAAAAACTACACCCACACCAAGGCCAAATCACAGACAACAACACGCACAGAACAGAAAAACGGTCGACATAGAAACACACATCACAAGACGATAAACCAAGGCAACACAGACAAACGGCCATACCCCACCTAACCCTACCACCCCGAAGAGGAGAAGCCTGAACTAAACCAGAACAATCTGACAACCTGAGACCACAAACAAAAGGGGTACAATAAAAATACCAGGAGAAAGGAGTGAGAAGACAACACAAAACTACAACCAAAAAAATGTGCTAGAATAGGGCAACCTACCACCCACCCTTCCTCTTTCTGTACCCTACCCAAACCCCTAGACCACAGTACAATAAATCTGAACAGAATATCGAAACATATTAACACGCTGAAGACAAACAAAAACTATAGCTATAAGACGATTGAAGAGCAACAAAATGCAGAAACATATATATAAGAAAATTGAATGACAAATCCTTACCCCCTGTTTCTTTTCTGTATCCCCCCCTAAAAAAACAAACAAAATCTTTAAAAATAAAGAATTTATAAAAAAAATTATATATATGTAATTTTATTCTAACTTTACAGTTAGAATATATATATATATATATATATATATATATATATGTTGGAGAGGGTTCCACCCATGAGCATCAGCTGTGGATTTAAAGTAAGGGGTTATCTACTAAGTGGTCCTTTGAGTATATTCGGGAATTAGTTAGATTTGTCAGAATGTTTATTCCCTTATTGTATTTTTTTTTCTTTCAATTTGACAATTTTTATTTTGGCGTAGTATGAAAGGTAGGTGTGATAAGGTGAATGGGGTGATCTGTGAGGGAGTTTATATTTCGACTGAATTGTTCAGAGAGGCAAATGATTTTTAACCCCAGGGGGAGTGTGTGTGTCTGTGTGTATATAACTTAAATTAATATTTAGTTTTGGGCCCCTGGGGTGGAGCATTTGGAGAGCAGGGTGGGCCAGTGCGCCACTCTCTCTTGGGAGAAATTGATCCAGGCCAGGGTTTTTGGACTGTCTCCAACCCACTGCTCAGCTGCAGGTAATCAGCTGCAGCAGTGGGAATAAACCCCTCCCTGCTAGGCAGGTAAGGAGAGAATGTTTGTTTCTCTCTGGAAGGCTGGAAGCAGCGGGCTGGCTAAACACTGGAGTGCAGAGAGCCGACAAAGACACTAGTGAAACCAATATTGTTTTGTTATAGTTTAACCCCTGAGAGATAGGGAATCTGATGTTAGTTAGTGCTCAGACAAGTTAGGTTTTTGTTTATAGGGATTTGTGTTACATTATTATTATATTTTATTTTTTTTGCCGCTGTCTTTGTAGTGAAGCTCAACAATAAAGTGCCTGGAATTAAGTTACTTTTAAAGACTTTGCATGTTTGTACCCAAAAGGACCGTGCTAACTGCAGACAAGGATCACATAGGGGTTACAGAAAAGAAAGTGGAGGGGGGATTTCATATGTGACACTTTACATCCATTCGACAGTGAAGTA